TTCGGCGGCTTCTGTTGATTTGAGGGTGTCTGGGAGCTCCCACGAGTAGTTTGCGAACCGAAGCGTTTCTGCCCCGATCTGTTCTTTTCACTTGGATGAGTCCGATTATTTTGGTGGGAGCTGGAGGGAGCTCCTCCACCAAAATTATTATTGTTATTACTCCGTTGGTGCTGAGGGTCAAACTTTTCTGAAGTTTCAAAAGTTTCAGCACCCTCCTGGATTTCTTCCCAAGAGGACATTTCAGGGTTTAGTCCGAATATCCAGAGTTGTTTTTGGAGGGGGGCACAGAGCCCGTTCCAAAATTTGACAACTTTCTCGTGTTCATCTATGACACCAATCATGTTGAAAAGTTCTTTGAGCTCGAAAGCATAGTCTGAAACAGTTTTATTGTTTTGGAAGCATTTTCGGAGTTTCTCTCGTAGTTCCGTTCTGTAATCAGAAGGGAAACAGTAATTAAATAATTGTATGAAGAACTCTTTAAGTGTCCACTCGTGAGCGTTGAGTGATACATTCTGAGTATAAAAATCGTACGCCTTCCCTTTCAGATAATAAGAAAGGACAAATGCACGGCGGTCTCTATGGACCTTTCCGGTTGTAACGTAGTCTGTTCCTTCAGTGACGAATCGATGGTACGCACGAGCGTCAGCTGTTCCATCGTACTCAACAGGAGGGATTGGCCTAATCAAGGTTTTAGGTTTCTTGGATCGTGATCGGCGGCGTCGGCTACGCCGCTGTTTGGACCTGTGCCTGGGGCGCCTTCGCGCTCGGCGGCTATTGATCAAGCCATCGGATTCATCATCTGAATCACTCGAGTCCGACAAGCTACTGTCAGAACTGAAGGACGAGTCTGAGCTGGATGAGTCTGGACTTGAGCTGGGCTGTCGACGATGCGACTTCCTCGGCCTATCAATGTTCTCGAGCACACGCCCAAGGTAGCTTTTGGGGGCAATCTGATTGAACGGCTGGTTGGTCCGAGCTGCTTTTACCAACAAGGCTTTGTGATGATCTTTGTCCTTCTTGACAGATCGTGTGGGTGTTTGTTCCAGGTTTACACTGGGTAAACTCTTGGAGGGTTTGTTCTTTCCTCGGTGAGCGGCCACAACCTTTCGGGGGCTCTCTTCTACTGAATCGTCAGACTCAGGTTCTCTGTTACGCTGTATCGTGAAGGACTCTAACACCTCACACTGGGCGTTGACGTCAAGTTCACCATCGCTGAGCTGTGCATTGGCCCAGTTACGGGGGTCAACTCCCTTCCCTTTTGGGTTGGAAGGGCCCTCACCTCGCGACTCGGACCTGTCGCATGGTGCCACTTTCTTTTGGACTCTCTCGTAACGGCGCGAGAGTTGTTCTTTCTGAGAGCTGGTTAATTGTTTCTCAGCTTCCATAACCACAGTGTCTTGTTCTGCAGCTAAGTCATTAACTCGGTTCTGAGCTATTTCGACTTTTTTTGTAGTCTTTTTGTTCTTTCTCAAAGAATCCAGGCTTCTGGAGCGCCTATGGACCACTGTGGTCCACGGATTTTGGTTATCATCCGGATTGCTTATCTCACTTAGCGAGGAAGTATCGCTCTCATGGTCATTACGGTTAGTAACAATATTTTTTGTATTGTTTGGGCTAACGTCTTTAGTTTTAACGACTAAAGTTTCTTCCACCCCTGCTGAGTGTGCAAGGGTTTCAGTATCACCCGAAGGCGCTTCTTCCCCGATAGCGGACGCTGGTGAGGAAGGTCGGGAGGCCACAACGTCGCTGTAGGAGCGTGTTGTTTCCTCAATGGCACGATCATTCGTCGCGGTCAAGTATGCCTGTGAACCAAGTACATTAGTACTAATTTTAGGGGTTTGAACCGTACCTGGCTGGGCAGCTACGCCAGCGCGGGTGGAACGGGTTCGGAGTGTGTAGCGAGAAGCAGACATAGTGTTTTAGAGTTTTTGTGAAGATAATAAAGCAAGAGGTTTTTTGTTGCCAGTAAACGGAGGATCCGGGTGATCAATCCGAAGTAGTCCAGTTGACGGGCAAGATAAGTCGAGTCGGGGGTTTTGTCGGGTTAAGAGTCGGGTTTTTGGTCAAAAATATGTAGCAGAAGCGTGACTGCTGTGACTGGAGGTAACAGCGGGCAGTTTTGATACACTGAGGTAGCGAGAATAGACCGTTTGAACGACTATATTCACTGAAGAGTATGTACAGTCGTGGACAAGCAAAGCCCACTAATAAAAATGGAAATTATTGATGGCTACCAAAGTGCCCGGAAAACGTGCAGATATGTTGAGGGAAGCTTCTGGCCAAATTTCAGCCAAGTCTCACGAGCCGTTTTGGAGAAAATGGCCATATACAAAAATAGACCCTAAATTTTTGGCCGGACACCAAAAAGTGCCAAGAAAAATATGAAAAATAGCGGAATCGCTTCCTTTCACGGAGAACAATCTGCCCATCAAGTTTCGAAACAATTTATCGAGCGGTTCTTCTGGAAAAAATTGCCAAACATTGACCCAAATTGGGCACTTAGTCACTTTTTGATGTGACATCTATCACGGGACTAAGAAATTCCATCACACTAGGCTTTCGAAATGCAGGGAAATCCCTTTCTGATAGATTCTTTGCCCTTTCTGAGTAGCTTCCAGCCAAAGCCCAGCACAGGTACCAACTTTCGATAATTTCTGGCCGGTTTCAACCTGTTTTTCTCCCCAAATGTTGCAGTTTTTTGGTCCAAAATTTTGGCCATGCCAATTCCTCGTGGGAAAAACTTCGGAGGTGCGTTTTTCGACGCATTTCGCAAATCTGAGCCAGAATCTGGAAAAATCTCAGCTCTAGATACATTATTTACCAAGATACCAAATTAGTGGGCTTTGCTTGTCCACGACTGTAGCTACAGTTGGCCCTTTTATACTAAGACAGAGGGGGTTTACGTAAGGTGGTAGAGGTGTACGCGTAAGCTAGAGATGTACGCGTAATCGGTAGAGTACGCGTAAGCGTTGAGGACGCGTAATCACTTTGAAGTAGAGACAGATGGGGTAAGAGAATGGTAGAGAGTCCGAGATCTGTAGATTAGATGAGACGTATGAGTGTGATGCGTCACATCCGTTACATGATTGTTTATTCATGTTTTTCAACTTTAGCCCATGAGCCGTGGCCTGAGCCTGAGCCAGGCCTGAGCCAGCCTAAAGCCTTGCAAAAAGCTCAGGCTTGAAATTGGATGAGCCTGAGCCGTGCAAAGCCGGGCCATAGCCGTGGCTTTCAGGCCAAGCCGGGCCTGCACAAGGACCCCGGGCAATAGCAGGAAAGCCCTGGTCCCGATCCGGACAAAAAATGTGGATTTTAGGCCCTACAGCTGGGGGCCAATCCGGACAAAAAGTGACAAAATTCGAAACTGCCCAGAGCCAGAGTCCGGACAAAATCGACGAGATGTCAAAAAAAAAAGCATCCCAGCCGGTATTTGAGCATAATTGTGGGACATTTGTAGAGAAAAATTTACCCTGATCTGGCCGTCCGGACAAATTTTTGAGATTGGGGTGTGGTAGGCCAGGTCCAGTCCGGACAAATTTGGTGCAGAGGCGTCCGGACAAAAACCCAATTTTCGGGATCAGGCCTTTTCTGCTATTGCCCGGGGTCCTCCTGCACATCACTAACTGTAATTGGCAAGCAACATCCTTTCCATTAGGGCAATAAAACGTTTTAGGGTCCCTCCCCTGATTGATCTTTTGGCACCCTGAAGGAAATTGGTTTAAAGGCCGTCGTTCGACGCATTTACCAAAGAAGTTTCCTGCCTTCGAAGGACCGTCAATTACTAATTTAAATTGTTTAGCGCTTATTTTTTCACGTAAGAACTTCAAGTTGGCCAAAACGTACGATATTGTTGAATTTCACACGTTCACGACTGCCAACAACGACGCCTTGGGTCAAGCTCAATCCATGGTCGACTTGTTAGGCGTGTCTCAGCAAGAAATGGACAATAATGATGTAGGCAGTGGATGGTTTCCTTGTTTATGTTGGGGCTTATTTCACTTTTTAAGGACCTGACTAACGCTGTTCAGAGGGTTGGTGAACATTGCGTCGCTATCGGGGAGCATTCTGATCTCTGGAGGGCAAAACTGGAGGTCAACGGAGTTTCTACCATGGTCTGATCGTTGTCATCTCACGTGCGTGTTTACTGATGGCAGATTACAGGTCGCCATAAAAGTTCTTCGCGGGGGGTCAAGTAGCAGACCCGACTTTCGAGAAAACTTGATCAAGGTACACTTTTTTATCACTCGAGTCATGCAAACCACCTAAGCGCCCGTGCTAGCAACTTCGCCAGCAAGCCATCCTGTGGCTGAAGCTATCCCATCCTCACGTTGCCAAGTTCTACGGATTTGTATATGACTTCGGTATGCTTCCCGGGCTCGTACTTGAGTTTTATGAAGGAAAAAATGTCATGGCGTACACAAAGCATGAAAGTTCTGACGAAACGAAGTTAAGACTGGTCTGCAGGCGTTTCATTTCTGATTGCAGCAGAATTTTAATTCTGATCCTTATCGTCAGGTTGGGGAGATTGCTTTGGGTTTGAAAAACCTGCATCAACAATGGCCGCCGATCATTCATGGTGACTTGCGAGGGGTCAGTCTTTCATTGTTCTTTTTTGCTTGGTGACCACACAATTATAGCAAGGCCAATGTGCTCGTCGATAGCGCAGGACACGCCGTTGTGGCCGACTACGGTCTAGCATTGATCATGGATTCACCTGAGTTTACCTCTATCAAAACTGCGGGAACTTGTCGATGGACTGCACCGGAAATTATGGACCCTCCGGCCAATGGCGAACCACCTTTGCCCCAGTTTACCGTCAAGAGCGACATTTTTTCCTTCGCTATGACCGTCTTTGAGGTATATCTCCAGGCCCCCATGCAAGGCGTTTACTCACACCCCGATAAGATCTTTGCAGGAGAGCGACCATTTGACGAGAAGAAAGGTGACAGCAGCGTTATTTTTGCAATCTTGAGCGGAAATCGCCCTCCCCTTCCAGAGTTTTTTGAAAACAAATCTGATCTTTCAAAACTTGTGGAACAGTGCTGGAGCCAGAACCCCGATCAACGGCCAACCGCCCGTCAGATCTGCCGCAGACTGGGTTTGGTACGAGTAGTTCTTCTTTTGAGATTACATCGCTGACCGCTCCTCAGACAACTTGGTATAGGGATTGGTCTGTTTACCTTTTTTCTTGAATCTGGGTCACTTTCTGACCTTGCTACTAGGCTGGACACCGTCCGTGAATATCTGCCAGTGTAGCTCAGGTTTATCATGACATGTTGTCTTTTTGCTCTAATGGACAATCATATCTTTGCGTGCAAAGGTTTCGATGCGCGCTCGTTGGGTCCGATATCCTGCCTCGCTGTCCCTTCTAGTGCCATTGGTATCCGTCATGGCGTTAAGGGCTATCATGTTTCGGGATCGTTTTGCTGCTACGTGTTTTCTTCTCTCCGTCAACACGGATTGCATTGCACGTTCAAGACATTCTCTCACATTTGCGAGACGAGTGTGTCACCAGATCTCCAAGCGTCAAGATTAGAGAGCATCTTCAAACATGCGGCTCACGGTTACAATGTCTCCAACGTGTCAACAATGTGTTCTTAACGTCCCATAAGCGCCCCTTCCCGCAAAGCTTCTCCGGTATTCACCATGTGATGCAGTTGACAACACTTGAACTACGATAAAGCGGGAGGCAAGCTGGTTGTCCTTGTCGTGGTTTCTTCAAAGATACGATATGGCTACCAATGGCATTGATGTTCAGGACATGAAGGTCATTGTCAACCGTTCAGCAGCCCTTCTCACTTGCTGATATTACGACCTGCAGCGTTTGGACGGGCATATAGAGATCACCGAAAAATATCCCATTGCTTGCGGTGGTTACGCGGACATATATCCTGGAGTGTGGACTGGCGATGCCATCTCTGGCCGGAATGTTGCTGTGGGTACCGTTCATATTTATATCGTTGTCCTTCCTCGTTCACGAACACTGCTGTGCATCAAGGTTGCCATCAAAGTCTTTCGAGACGCACACATCAAGGCGCATACCCCCGAAGGTCAGCGGAAGTATTCGAAGGCTAGTCTCTCCCTTTCTTGGCCGTCCCTAGTTCTTATTTGGTCCAAATCACCAGCTTTTGAACAAGGAATATCGTGTCTGGGCACTTCTTCGCCATACAAATGTGCTTCCTTTGTATGGCTTGATTGACGACCAAGCGATTCCTTCCACTGGTATTGTGGCGCCGCGCTGCACTCTTGGCGATCTCCGCGCTTTTTTCTCTGACCCGGCAAGAGCATCTGTCGAAAGACTTCCTATCGTGAGTGAGGGTCATCTTGATGGCATGAACTTTCAATTTGAGTGCGACTCGTTTATTTGTTTAGGTGAAAGGGATTGCGGAAGGCCTGACTTACGTGCATGGGGAAAAGGTGGTTCATGGTGATATGACGATGGTAAAGAAAATATTTCTTTCCACGACTGGCAAAAAAAAATTGATCTTGTACTGAATAGAATAACGTCCTCATTCAGCTTATTAATGGCAAATTCACCCCCCGTATCTCTGATTTCGGTCGGACCCGCGTTCTTGAAATAGCCGGCTATACTTCCTCAATCGGTGGTGCGGTACATCGGTCAGGGAGACTTTGTTTTGAGAGCAATCTGGATACTAATCTGAAAAAACAGACACCTGCCCCCAGAAATTCTGACGGCCGAGAACGAGAAGCGGACCACGAAGGCCTTTACCCAACTAGCCGACGTGTGGTGTTTCAGCATGGTGATGCTCGAGGCTTGTGTTTTTTTTTTCCATGCACATCACGTCCTCCTTACCGTATTTGATACTTTTGTTTTAGACTCTTACGGGGAAAATTCCATTCTGGTATATGATTGAGCTACAGGCGGCGAATGCCGTCGCGTACGGAAATGAAAAACCCAAACAAAAACGTTATCCCGCCTTTCTCCACGATCAAAGCTGCTGGGACATCATGAGAAGATGCTGGCACATTGACCCCTCCCAAAGGGAGAAAATGCCCGGTTTGTTGCAGTCCCTCAATGATCTCACGTAAAGAACAGCAGGCCATATGCTTTTGTTTCGTCCCATCTACTACTCGATATACCCTCATGTTGTATGAACCCGTTATAGCTTCAATGAACTCTCCTCTTGCCATGCATGTAATGAATAGGGAACGAGATAAAAATATGATGTCTAAGATCTAAATTACTATACTGTCTACTTTTTAACAGCAAGGGTCCTTGATACCTCACGGAAAGCACTGATGGTTTTAAGTCGAATTCAAACGAATCAACGGCATGGAATTCTTGGGCACGAAACGCTACGTCTCGCACCCAGTCAGTGTGATCTTCTAGCGTCTCCTCCTCGGCCATAATTGGGCATCTTCGCGGTATCCCCACATCTTGACAAGGTTGTCACAGCCGGCACTAGCGAAACGCTTGACCAAAGACGTGGGTGATAATTGGGCCCCACCAGGCGCTCAAGTTCCTCAAAACGGTAATAAGAGAACCGGGGAAGATTTGCGGGCGCCCACGAAACGGCGTTGCAGCCATTGAAGATGTCAGCGTCCCATTGACCATTGGCCATCGTCTGACCATGAAACGTAAGATGAATATGCAAACGTGGTCAATTATAGACGTACTCTTGAGAGTCAAAACTAAAAGTTTTCAAACAGAGGACGCGCGGGAAAGGATGGCTCCGAGTTCATGGGACGCCCAAGACACAGAGTTAACTGGTAAAATGGGTAAGCCAAATAAGCGAGCAATGGTAATGATACCCGTCACCCGAAGCCGTATGCAGAGTATGTTCTTCAATCTTGATCCATCCTCCTGGAGCAGCTCCTTGCCCAAGTAACTCCTTCCAGATCAACACCTTTCCGTCATGTGAACACGAAGCCAGTATATGGCCGTACTTTGGGTGTGCCCAATCGACTTGCCAGACTGGTCTTGTATGCCTGCGGTTCGAAGTAAGCGGTTGACCTGAATCATGAACGTGTTCAACGCGTGCCCTTTGAGTGTCTTACACGCGGTTGATCTTTAAGCGTCCCCATCGACTACATCGAAGACTTTCACGGTCTGAAGAACAGGTGGCTAGACGTTTCCCGTAGTAATTGAGTTGCGCGTCGTGCTGGTTTCAAGTATTTCAAGAAAATGCATTCGTTGTCCGGATGCCATAGAATGAGAACGCGTACTCGCCATGTTGTAATTTGAATGACTGAGAGTTGGAGAGTTCCAGGGCATGTCGCTGCATGTCGTCGCTGACTCGTCAACAACACCAACGCGTTTGCGTCACAAATGTGACAGTCGGTAACTTATTTAAATGAGGGCTGACGTTGGGCTGACGCGTCTCCCCCCTCTCTGACAACTATCATCGGAGACTGGCAGTGGGTTTGAGTCTGCCCCATCTCCCTGTCACTCATTACTCACTGACCTTGACATTCCTATGGATGCAGGGGCTAAAAACACAGACTCTCAAACTGCGCTGTAACCTTGGTGGGCCAGCTCAGCTTCTGCCGTCCCAGGGGATCAAATCATTACGAACCTCTTGCAGTAGCTTGGTGTTACCTCGGATCCCAACTTGCCCCACTTGGCTCCATCCGTATACCCTGCCCCATGTTGATGGAAGGATGGACTAGCAACTCCAATATGTCCTGCACACGACAACAGCATTTAACGTAATTTGGAGAAGTTGTATCCTGTCAACAACCGCTCCGAACACGACGTGTTGTCTTTGCTAAGCCAGTACGAATCAGTGATTGATTTTTGGCGCCATCAAAAACAACTGGTTAAAGGCGGTCGTTGAAAGAACGATGTACCAAGTAAACTCGTTGCCCCCAAAGGACCACAGTAAGCACATTATTTATTTCTTTAATGTATCACGGTGAGTTAGGTATCTGGCGCTTGAAGTTTTTGACAGCTTGTGAGTGTCAAGTGCTTCAGGCGCCAGCTTAATTTACGCACGACTCTCGAACATGTAGGCGCCCTGTTTATCACCCTCAGCCCAGTCGATAACGCAGCTGCGACGCTGGATTCCAGTCGATGGTTGATCAGCCAGGCGTACCACAACAAGTAATGTGTTTTATAGACAATAATGATGACGTGAGCTATGGATGGTTTCCTGATCTTCATGACGACCTATTTCGCACTTCAAGGATCTGACTGACGCTGTCGAGAGGGATGGTGATTACTACATTGGTATCGGGGAGCATTCTGATCTCTGGAGGGGAAAACTTGAGGTCGACGGAGTTCCTACGCTATGGAAAGCAAGACTGATCTGCTCAGAATTCTCGGTTGCCGATTGATGGCCGCATATTTGCTAAGTAATATAATTGATTTGTGGTATTTGCAAATTACATAATATACAGCTATGTTGTTCAAGTGCCTTTCTTCATGGTCTACTCGATGCCTTCATCATGTAACAGGCAAATTACATCATGGCCTTGCTTGCTCGTCTGATATTCCACTTCAATTCATCCCAGGGCTTGACAGTTATATGAGTGTCCTTGTGATTTTTCCTGACAAGTTAATTTAAGGGTACAACTTGCATTTCTATGCGGCACTGTTTTCTTCAGCCAGCATTGAATCTAGTCACATGAATTATATATAAATAATCTTTCTTCTGTGGCAGATGATGAGTCCATCACCCATTTTGCCATTCACTGGAAAAGACTAAAGAAATTTACTATCTTGTTGTGGTCTATTCTGCCTGTAAAAAATATGCATTATTTTCTTGAAGGTCTCTTCAATGGAAGTATGATCCCCACCCCAGGAAATCCTGCAGGAGAGTGGGTTATTTATCAAAAGTGACTGAGGAACAAGACTCACCAGTTCAGCAATGTCTCTCATGTTTACATCCAGTCCAATGGTAATTGATTTCATCTTGAGGTTTAAAATTCCTTCTTTCACTTCTCAATCAGGTGGACCAATCAACATATAGAATGTGATCAAGTCTTCTGGGGCACATCACAGTGTCCTATCATCAAATAAATTATCACAAACAACACTGGGTGTTGGGGAGTTTCATGATAACTTGGAGGCAGTTGTTTGCTGCAACAACAATGCCCACAATTTCTTGCATAGGGGTGCTCATGGTAGCCATTTTTGATTCATTTTTTGTTCATTTTTGTAGACATAGAACATCAAAAATGAAGTGAAAAATGAAGTGAAAAATGGCTACTGTGAACCTGCCCTCCTTGAAATTTTCGAAAATGAGATAAAAAATGAGTGAAAAATGGAACAGCCCATTTTTCGGCACCCTGGAAGCCTTGAACTCTGCACCTTGTTGCAGACCCCACCTTATCTTATCATTTCTCCAATAGTATCTGTCAGCTGCAATTCTTCCCTGAGCCTCAACTAATTGGTTTTCAGTCTATTAAGAGTAATTTATTTTGATTTTTTTGCTCATTCTGCAGTGCAAACGGTGAATAGAATAAAGTGGTTGTCATATCGGGAAAAAAGAAAAAGAACAGACAACACTGAAACGCCCTTCAGCAACTTGAAACCTGAACACAAAAAATGGATGAAAAATGGATGAAAAACAGAAACACATCAAAAATGGACACAATGGCTGTTTTTGAAAAATGGCATTTTTGGGATCATTTTTGATGTGTTTCTTTGCCCGTTTTTGATTCTATTTTTCAGAAAAACGAGATGAGAAATGAGATGAAAAATGATTCAAAAACAGTAACTGTGAACGGCACTAATGCCATCCACCCAGTTTGTTTGATAAACTAGTTACCACAACATCATGTGCAAGATGGCATTGCTAATAGAAAGTATGTGAAGTTGTGAGTGTGTCTATTCAAAATTATGTGGGGAGAAGCCTCACATCCTTTTCTGAATATTTCCTGAATACCTCTTTCTGAGTCAGCCACAAATTGATTCAAAAGGTGCAAGATCACAATGAGTCTGCATGAAAATTTGCACAAAATCATACTCATCTTGGGACTTTGGCAGTGACAAAATTACTCTGCTTTCACAAGCACAACCATCCCTGCATGGTCTGAGATGCCACCAGATGCCATTCCATGATTGGAGGCTAGTCTACTGTCATCTGAGAGCTGTGTGAGGCTATAGGGTGGGCTTTGTTGCACCTGGAAGCATTGTAGTGTATTGGATGCAGCAAAACTACTTTAGCACTGACATAGCCATGCACTCAAGATGCTAATGCTTGGAGGTTGGTTGGAGGATCATTGTGTGATGTTTCTTCAAGGAAGTATGTGCAAATGTGCCTCAGTGTTGGTGTATTTTGTCAATTTGAGCCTGAAACATCTTGGGAACATCAAGTAAGTTGATTTAAATCTGTAATTACATTGCAGAATTACTGATATTCTTTAAATTAATAAGATACCCAGTAATGATATGTGTTCCGACAGTGCCAATACTTGATGGATGTTAGACGGCAAGACTTGGGCGATGGCTCCGTGAAATTCTTCATTGCAGATTGCATAATTATGGTGCAAATACCACGAATCAATTATATTACTTAGCAAATATGCGGCCATCAATCGGCAACCGAGAATTCCGAGCAGATCAGTCTTGCTTTCCATACTACGCTGGTGAGGCTGTCGTCATTTCATGTGTGTTTCATTCATGGCTGGTTGCAGGTTGCCATCAAAGTTCTTCGCGGAGGCTCGAGTAGCAGACCCGATTTTCGAGAACAATTAATCAAGGTATACTTCCTATTAGATGAGTCATGCAAAGTGCCTTAGCGTCTATGCCAGGAGCTTCGTCGGCAAGGCATTCGCTGGCTGACGCTATGTCACCCTCACGTTGCCAAATTCTATGGATTTGTATACAACTTTGGGATGCTTCCTGGGCTCGTACTCGAGTTTTTTGAAGGAAAAAATGTCATGGAGTACACAAAGCGCGAAAGTTCTGAGGAAACGAAGCTACGACTGGTTCACAAGCCTTTCACCTCTAATGGCAGCAAATTATGAATTCTGATTTTTATTGTCAGGTTGGGGAAATTGCTCTGGGTTTGAAATACTTGCATCAACAATGGCCACCTATCATTCATGGTGACTTGCGAGGGGTCAGTCTTTAATTGTCCTCCTATTTAGCTCAGTGACCACAATTTATAGCAAGGCAAATGTACTCGTTGATAGCGCAGGACACGCTGTTGTTGCTGACTACGGCCTAGCGTTAATCATTGACTCATCTGAGTTCACTTCCATCAAAACCGCGGGAACTTGTCGATGGACTGCCCCGGAAATTATGAATCCGCCAAACAATGAAGACGTCCCGTTGCCTCAATTTACCATTAAGAGTGATATATTTTCTTATGCTATGACAGTCTTTGAGGTATATCTTGGTTTCCTTTCCTATGCTTGAATATTCACACAACTCAAAAAAGACATTTGCTGGGGAGCAACCATTTAACGAGAAGAAAAGCGATGCCAACGTCATTTTTGCGATCTTGAACGGGAGTCGCCCAGTGCTTCCGGAGTCTATTGAAAGCAGGGCCAATCTCGCGAATCTTGTTAGACAGAGCTGGAGTCAAAACGCCGATCAAAGACCAACCGCTCGTCAGATCTGCCGCAGATTGGGATTGGTACGATTATTTTTTCTTCTAAAAACCACGTCTCTGACCGATTTCTAGACAACCTGGTACGGGGACTGGTTGGTGCATTTTTTCTTAAATTCGAATCGCTCCCTGACCCTTGTTGTTAGGATGGACACTCCGTGGATATTTGCCAGTGTAGCTCGCGATACCCTTTTTTTCCTTCCAAAGTTTTCGATGCGCGCTCGTTAGGTCCGATATCCTGCCTCGTTGTCCTCTCTATGCCATTGTTACCCGTCCTTCCGTAAAGAGTCGTTCTGCTTTGGGACTGTCATGCTGCTACGTATTTCCTTGTTCCCGTCAACAATGGATTGTTTTGCCCATTCACGTCAATCTCTCCCATTAGCTGAACGAATGTGTCACTAGACCGTCAAGCATCAAGATTAGACGGGCGTCTCCAGAGCCGTCGCTTATGGTTATAATGTATAGCCAGCGTGTAAACAACGTGTTTTTGACGTTACAACAACATTTTAAGCGCACCTTCCCGCGCAGATTTTTCCGTTTTCGCCATGTGGTGTGTTTGACAACATTTGAATATGTATAAAGTGGGAGGGAAGATGGTTGTCGCTGTCGTGGTTTCTCTGAAGCGACATGTCTAACATGTGCATGAAGGCTAACATGAAGGTCATTGCCAACTGTTCAGCGGCTCTTCTCACTCGCTAATGTCACTACGTTCTGCAGCGTTTGGACGGTGTAAAGGTCACTGCGAAATTTGCCATAGGTCATGGTGCTTTCGCGGACATATATCCCGGAATTTGGACTATCGATGCAATCTCTGGCCTAAATGTTGATGTGGGTACCGTTCATATTTATATCGCTCCCCCTCCTCATTCACGAACACTGCCGCGCATCAAGGTCGTCATCAAAGTCTTTCGAATTGCACAAATCAAGGAGAATACTCCCGAACTTCAGCAGAAGCATGTGCAAAACTGTCAACGGGTCTCTCTCTCTCCCTTTCCTGCCTAGTTCTTATCTGATTCAAATCACCAGCGTTTGGAGAAGGAATGTGGTCTTTGGGCAGATCTTCGCCATCCAAATGTGCTTGCTTTCTTCGGCTTGCTTGACGACCCAGCGATCCCTTTCACGGGTCTCGTGTCACCGCGCTGCACTTCCGGCGATCTGCACGCATTCTTCTCTGACCCGGCAACAGCATTTGTCGAAAGACTTCCTATCGTGAGTGAAGGTCACCTTGATGGCATGACTGTCAATTTGAGTGCGACTTTTTTTTATAGGTGAAAGGAATTGCGGAAGGCCTTACATACATGCATGAGAAAAACGTGGTTCATGGTGATTTGACAATGGTAAAGAGAATATTTGTTTCCATGGCTAGCAAAAAAAACAATTAATCTTGAACTGAATAGCGCAACGTCCTCATCGAGGTTATTGATGGCAAATTCACCCCGCTTATATCTGATTTCGGTCGATCCCGCATCCTCGATATAGCCGGCTATACTACCCCAATCGGTGGTGCGGGACATCGGTCAGGGAGACTTTGTTTTGGAGCGCGATTTTGATACTAATCTGAAGAAATAGACACCTACCCCCAGAAATTCACTTGGCTGAGGATGACGATCGAACTACGAAAGCCTTTACCAAGCCAGCCGACGTTTGGTGCTTTGGTATGGCGATGCTTGAGGTTCGTGCTTTCTAAATGGGTCACATCCTTTCCATCTACCTATGCACTCAACACACTGCTCTAGACCCTTTCGGGGAAAGAGCCATTCTTCTATTTGAGCGAATACAAGGCAGCACAGGCCGTTGCAACTGACCGCGAGATACCTGACCAAAACTGTTATCCTGCTTTGCCGCACGGTAACGCCTATTGGAAAATTATGGGGAAATGCTGGCATTGGGAGCCTTCGCACAGAGAGGAAATTGGTAACCTGTTGCAAGACCTAAACACTCTCAGCGAGTAACACCTGCAGGCCACATGCTTTCCTTTTGTCCCCTTCACGTTCAGTTTCGTCGAGTTCCATGCAATGACCCGTGAATGAAATAAACATTAGTCACTAATATGTTTTCTAACGTCTAAGGTATTATATTGTCTACTTTAAGTCTTGCGGTAAGCCTCCTCAAAATCCTTCTGAAGATTTGGCAGAAAAGGCATGTGATGCATGATGAACAAGGTTCAGAACTACAGAACACCAACAACCTCATTCCATGCTTAATTCACCCTTACGAAGCTGGTTGGAAATTCCAAACATATCATTCAGCGCCACCTCAGCAGCAGCAGTGAACTAGTCATCGCGGACTTCGCTGTCAACAATGGTACCACGGCGAGTGCTCAACCAATAACTTGACCTAGAGTCGCCAAAAGTGATGAGAGCTGAATGATATATAAATGAGCATTCTTACTCTGGAACTCAACAGGAGCAACGACTTCCACGTTCATGATCGGCTCCAAAATAACACTCTTCGCCATCTTGAATGCCTCACGGAAAGCACCGATGGTTGCAAGCCGGAAAGCCGGTTGAGACGAATCGACGGCATGGAAGGCATCTCGAGGGCATCATCCTTGAAAAACGGCATCCAGAAATGACGTTACCAGACAAGGCACTTTTCTCAAGTGCTTCATAGAAACCCTAGCAATTGAAAGACATCAAAACAAGTTGGAAGTTTATGAGTGATAAAGTGACCGTTTCAATCGCAGGAGTGATATTGGTCCTACACCGATGCCCACATCATCGAAGGGAACGTCCTTTCCGGTCTCTGGGTCAGGGTCAGGTTCCATCGGCTCGATGTACCCGACAACTTTGGCATAATGACCCGCATCTCCAGTCTGCTTCTTGTGCGTGTAGGCATGCGTGATAGCCTCACGGGATGCTACGCGAGGTTTTCCGGTGACGCAATCAGTGCTATACTCTCCGCGCATGCGTTCAATATAAATTTCCAGGTGAAGTTCTCCCGTGCCGGGGATAATGGTCTACATAGGAAGCGGTGGTTAGCTGGACATGAATAAGAAGACAGGGCATGTAGAAGCCGGACCTCTTTGCTCTCATGATCGATGTGGACTTTGAATGTAGATTCTTTCTGGAAGCGATACAAAGCACGGGAGAAATTTGGGGTTTCGATGCCTTTCGATTTGATGGACAGCGAGATAACCGGTTCTGGGCCATACACGTTCGTCTAAGAGTAAAATTAGTAGACAGATTGCAACGCAGATCCTGATACGATACTTACCATGGAAAAGCTGGTAGAACCGTCTGTTACGGTTGGCGAGCAGGGCCAGGTCTGTTTTGACGTCCAGAAGTTATCAGAAGCGATATTTTTATCTCTGGGGTCCATGTATCGAAGGCTGTGACATTCATCGTCACAATTAATATAGTTCTTTTTAATATAAACGATTTATTCCCGGACATCGCTGAGCGCTGCGAGCAGTAGATGTAGTTTTCGGTGTTCGCATATGTACGGTGCGCCAGGATTCACATTTCTCATGTGGGGATCCTGGTGAATTTGCCGTGCCGTCCACGTCGACATATTTTATTAATTTCTGTATCTCCTTATGTTTTTTCTGAAATACATGTTTTGCGCTTCCACATGGAAGTGGTGTTTTGATCTTTCTCACGGAGACAAACAAGAAACAAACCTAGTACCCGCTGTTGGAGCACATCCACGAACTGGCAGCCTTGCATTTTCCGTTGCTTTTCCTCGCTGTGTTCAACGCGAGAGGGTACTAGGACTTGCGGGTTAGGACCATCTCTACCTCTTGCTTGCGTTGCCTTTTCCATATGTGCTTCCTAGTGACACGTTTCACGATGGTGCGTTTCACTAAAGCTTACCCATCTTCTCACCTTGCGCTGAGCTGGGGCGGGGAGGGAAGGTATACCTTGCGCTCTATGTACACTGCCTATTCTTACACGCAATCCAGATGTACGCTACAGACTCAGATGACATGGACGCGCTCACCTTCAACGCTCCCACTGGCATCTTGTTCCGATATTTAACTTTCTCAGAGGCGAAGAAGCAGCCTATCAGCGAGATAAATCTTAAGGAGGCCTTTGAAGTGCTTGTCATGAACATGAGTCAAGTAGCTGCCTTTCTCTTCGTTTTCCTCCATACGCTAACCATCATTGCAAGTTGTTTGATCAATGTATCCCCCTTGGACGCGACTACCTCGAGCCCATCAAAGACGTCGGTCCGAAATTCGCACTCAAGCTGATACGTGAGTATGGAGCGTCGTGAAGCGCTTGAGAGAAAAGTGAGTTCTCGTTACCACGCACATGCCGTTACTGATTCTCTTCCAGATCCACCATACAAAAAGTAGCTCAGGCTACCGTCGACTCGGACGAAGAGTCCGAGCATGAAGAGGAAGACGAACCAGCGCCAACGAGCGTGGAAGCTCAAAGTCCTACACCCGATGACTCCAACGGGGGTAAAGTACAGAGGCCTTAAAGTCGAAGGTATTGAATGGATGCAGGAGAAACAGAGGATAGTCGAAGAGGCGCCAAGTGCACTCGTCGTTGGGGGTGGTGCTTTGGGTATTCGTGCACCTCGGGCCTGGCGCTTCTTAAGCGCTAGGGGGCCTCAGAGGCCAATTTTTTGTCTGGGGGTAATTGGCCTCTGAGGGGGGTAATCCTGTTACTTCGCACGCAATGCCCACGCTGTCGTTCCAAAAATAGCTCCGGCTGATGGTTGCCGGTGTCCGGACACACGCTGCACATGAGCGCTTGCGCTCGCTTCCAGCGACGAACCCCTTCCGATGACGAACGACCTCCACCCCTTCAGTGACATATTGCCCACCAACCACTTTCTCCGCCTACGTCTCTTGCAAAGCATCCTACGTCAACAAACAGCGAGCGTTGAACGTTGAGCGCTGAGCACTCAGAGTCAGAGCGCTCGCTTTCTACTACGGCGACTAGCTAGCGACGAACCCGACAACGAACGACCTCCACCCTAGTAACATGTTTGCGCACCAACCACACACCCCGCCTACTCTCCTTGCGCAGCATTCTCTGTCACCAAACAGGGATTCACGCCGCTGCTAACATCCAGATATCACTGCGAAATGGCTCGACACATCATACATTAAACAACGGTGCGGTGTTATGGCTGCTGTGGAAGGGGTTATGGGAGACGGTTGACTTTGTGCCATCCAGATAGGTATGTCTATTATAGTTCAACCTCCTGGGTGACCGGACTTCAGGAGGCCAATGCGCAGGACATTCACACATGGACAGTTGAACCTTTCGACGTTTGAGATATTCCTCAACCCAGTCGTCTATCTCTGCGCTTATATTGGTATCACGGTTCGAGTGCTTTCACCAACCGAGTCCCGATTACGGCCGCTGCTGAGACCTTGATGCGTCGCGCATTCATCAAATCTCTTTGTCACGACGCTCGTCCTCCTACCCAAACATCTACTCTGAAGAGAAAGAACTCATTGCCAGGTTTTCAGCGATAGGAAAGAATGGAAGAAACAGGTGGATAGTGATCCGCGAGTGAGTACTGTTTGCATTTATATTTCCGTCTTTTTTTGATGATCCCTTGTTCCCAAGACATACGACGTTCGCCCCCTTCTATTCGGTGAGTTTCAGTTCTCTCCTCTGTTTGGAATGTATTCCGACCATAATATATTCGAGCTAGGCATTGAGGTGCTTCCCGATTCTTATTTCTCAAATTCTATCAACATGTCAATCCCTGCCGACATCCTATCCCTCTCTGTCGGTCAGGTACTACATTTTATTTGAGTGTAGGTTACATTATCAGGGAATCTTACCATATTGTTTCTTGTAATACACGTATTTTATCCTTGCTGCCAATTCGCCGTAGAATAAAAAAATGACAAGATTCTGATGTGGAGACTGCAACATATGAAAAACAACATTGGAGGCACTCGTTTATATCCTACGGCAGCCATGCATTCGTAGAAATATAGTATTACTCTTTTGTACTTGAATTGGCTTGGCATAGGACGAAATTCATGGGGAGGGAGCTATTGTAGGCCGTAAATGCTGCTACAATCCTTAAGACGATAATCTTTGCCAATCTTTGATGTAGCATATGCCGTCTGACCTTTACTCCAAAAAAATATAATTTGAGGCTCGCTTCTACCTCCCTCCTCAATACTAGCTCGATAAAACTGTTCTTCATGCACCGGGCTATGCGACGGCCGATATCAATATTATTTCTATAAGGGTTGAAGCAGATAGCCTAGAGGTAAAGTAAATTTCACGGCACTGTTTCGGTAAACAGCTAAACAGTGTCCTTTCCCCACGCATCAGTTTTGAGTACATGTTATTGTAGAAATTGTTGTATAGTACCTGGTGGTATGTCCCTCAGAAAATAAAAGTCACAGGTGCTCGTCGAGAAACAATTTAAATGCGAAAAAATGCGGTGATTAACTCAGGGGGGCTTCATTGAAACTCCAACGATAATTCACGGCTTAAGAACCTCGCCAAGCTATTTTGCTCTTCCCAACTAAACCAGTCATGAATGATAGCAGTGCTCGGGTGTATGTGTTAATCTATTCTGGCTGTCTGCAAAAGACTGCAATTGAGAGTGGTCCCAGGAAATAAACCATCCATTGAGCAGAATTTGTTGTTCGGATGTTTAAATGCAAGCTAATATGCAACGAATATGCCTATGAGCTACACGTCATTTCTCAGCTGTATTCAATATGTCATAGAATGCACCAATATGAAGTTCTGATTTCCTGTTGAAAGGCAGGTAGCGGCACATTTTCAGAGCATCAGAATAGTCTAAGAGCAACTGTTATACTATTTTAAGGACACCATATGGTCAAATAATCTATGGACAAACAGCGTGATATGTGGTGGAGTGACTAACATGTTTTTCTAATTTTATGAACAATGTTTTTGTTTTGTGTTTGTTTTTCAAGCCCGCTTAAGGTGGGTGAACGTCCGAGTCGTGGCCCATGAAACAGTCAGCCCCAAACCTGGAGATGCAGGCGCCGCCGTTTAAAGCAGAGCCACAGCTGCAAAATGCAAGCAGTAGCCATTATTGTATGGGAGCGGGGGGGAGGATGTCGCACTCCTGCCGGCCCCGCAAAGAGGCTTCCGATGCACTTTTGGCATAAATTTTTATCCTCTATGATCTGTATCCTGAGTGAATGTATAATAAAGAAGGTTTCGGGATTTGATAGAGTGCCCATATTCTGAGAAGGCTACGAGGAGGCCTAAATGCCGGCAATGGATAGGGGGCTAGCGGTGCAGCCACCGCGCGCTGTCACCTTGACGCTCCAGCTATTTTTAGACGTCAAAAGAAGCTTGCTTGATTTGGATTTGCACGCCAGTGATAGAGTGACCATACCCCTCAGAGGCCAATTGCTACCATCAAAAGAATCGGCCTCTGAGGCCTTCTGTCGCTCAGAAGCGTCAGGCCTGAGGTGGACCCCAGGCTCCTGTCAAATTTTTTCGGATCAGGCTCTATCAGGCTTCAAACAGACCTGACCCTGCTCACCAACCGTAGTCTGTGAAAGTATCGCCTTGGGAGCATTCCACGCCAAAAATGGAACGGATTTCACCAGGACCAATGGCTTCAATATCCTCCATCTGATTACGGCTGGCCGTTACTGGGCAACTGTCGTTGAGGAAGAACTCCCCAATCTCTTGGTCTACCTAAGCAAGTTGTTCAATAAGTTTGTTGCGTTTGGCCTTCAAGGCCACTTCCATAACCGATTCAGGAATTTCATGGGATATACCGACCTCATTTCGAGGAGTCGTTGAGCCCGCAGCCAAGAGAACAAACAAAAAAGGGAAAAGTTAACCCTTTCTGGCCCTCGCTGTACAGTGTATACAGACTGGCAGCAGCAGGTATGCGAACTTCGAAGCTTTGACCGGATTTGGGTGACGATTCTCCATGGGTTGGCACCAGGCCTGCAGGAAGCGGACACCCATTTAAGTAAAATGTTTCCCAATACCTACTTATCTTGTTAATGAATGGCCATATGTACTTTGGCTACTTATGACCGAATGACTGGTCCAGTATCCCTGTGACTCAAACGAAGCGGCAAAGTTGAAACGTCAATGTGTCCAATACGTACGAGTGTCTGGTCCCCATCAACTATATCGAAGACTTTCATGCTTCGATTTGAAGAACGAGTGGTCCCGTTGCGCGTCGTGCAGGTTCCACATAGAATCTTGATAAGATCACGAAGATCTTACTTTTGTCATGTGCTGAATCCGAGGCTGCTTCAGCTACCTGGCGTAGTATGGTAAGCCGTTTGGGTCATGTTCAGTGCGAACGCCTCCTCGCCATGTCATAGTTTACAGGATATGAATGACGCGAACGTTGAGCACGACTCGGAGTCGTGTGGCTTTTGTCACAAATGTCACTGTTACTTTAGTACATTACACCGATATCCCTTGTTCTCTTGCATAAAATAATCCCAATCATATCTCTCTCTCTCTCTCCAAATGGCTTCAGTTATGCATCGGGAGGCCAGCTTTTCCTTCAGGACTATCCGGATATTATTTACGTTCTCGAGCTGGGGGTACACTTGACACCTTAGTGGAACTCCGGTTCAACAACCTGGCACCTCTACCCTTAGAGCGCTTACCCATGTGTAAGGTACTTTTGGTAGTACTGCGCCCCCCCAGTGGGTATCAAAATCGTGGCATGCGGCTCCGAGTCTTCGCCTCCCTCGAGGCTCATCACAATGGTTGTAATCCGGAGTTGAAGACCAAGTTCCAACCGGTCTGATCGAAATGCCTCCAACTGGCAAAGAACCCCTGGTAAGTATCTCACCATCATACTGTGTTTAACTCAACTCAGGGCCCGGTTATCATGGTTGTGGGAGTATAAAAGGAAAGAGAGAAAAATTCCCAAAAAGGAAAGAGAAAAAGAGAAAAAGGAGGGATTTCCTGACTTATAGTAACCTTTCTCTTGGTAAAAATTCCAGAAAATTACCACAAAATACATACTTACAGTGGCCACCAACATGTGAGCATGACATTAATTGTTATACCACTTTTTCATGATACTTCTGATGGCGAAGAATCAAAGTATGTACATAGATTTGGTAGCATTCTCAACCCTCAAAAGAAATTCACAAGAATAAAAGGGGTGTCTGCTATCCTTTCCTTCATATTGTTTTGAACCACATGAACCACAGGAATTTGTGCACTGATCCTTGTTAATTCAACCTCCACATCCTTTTTTTTCACACTTCCAACATTTCCTTGCTGCATGTTTTATACTATGGACTGTCACAGAGGATTCAGAGATAAATTTTGAAATTAGAATTTCTCAATAGGTTGACCTTCATCTGGTTTGATTTCAAAGAACTTAAATGGATATATACAATTTATCTGTGGATTGTAATAGTTTTATATCTGTGACACTTTAGCTCAAATTTCCCACTCATTTTTAAAGATGATATTAGTACACTTGTAACACATTACACTCTAGAGAAATGTAACATCTCTGGTATACCATAAAAAAAAGATCTCATATGAAGGCACATGATTGCTTTCAAAATTTTGATTTTGGCAAGTGGATCAGGTGTTATTAATCCTGCGTAGATTTTTTATTTTTCTGTTGGGTATCCAGCATGTGTGTCTACCCTGAGTTATTATTCTCACCAGGCAATACACTTGGTCCTGCAACTGAAATATTTTCAGGTGGAAAAGGCATATTATAGAGCATTGCTTGGTTTTGATAGTGTAATGGCTGGTAATTAGTTGCTTTCCTGATGATGAGGGCTGGGCCACTGGTAGAGTTTATTGCAATATGTTTGTGAAGCTCAGGGTTTGAATTTGAGAGCTTTAACTCCTTTGCATTGAGATCTAGTCTCTGCTAGATTACATGTGTGCAGTTACTTTAGATGTTCCCCAAGCTGAAATTACAGTTGATAAATGATATTTTTGATTATCACAGGAAATGATGCTGCACACAATGTTGTGGGAGGGGAAGATGTTAAAAATGTCGAAAATACAAAGTACAGGACAAGACAGGGGCGTGGGAACTATATACCATACATGGCAGCATCCAAATACAGAAATCATAGCAGCTGCTAATGTTTCCATTCTCGGAATTATTTTGGTAGCAGCTGCTAATGTTTTCAAATATGGAAACATTAGCAGCTGCTACTACCCACAGCCATGGGAACTCCGCCCAACTCAGCAGTACTGTAACCTAAGGGTGCTTCTAATTAGGGACTGTCACAGATAGGCTAATCCCAGGTAAACCCAAAATCCACCCATATTTGGGCTCAACTGACGGATTCGGGTAACTACCCGGACTATCCACAGGTATCCATGGGTAAATTATATATTTTTAGACCTCTTTGGGATATTTTGAGTGTAGGCAATAAAAACTGCAGAATACACCAAAACCAGTGTTCCCCCAATATATTTGCTCTCAATTTCTAAGTTTGGTGATGGAATTGTACATCCATCATATGCATAAAACAAACTTACAATAGAAAAAGGGATCAGATCCAAAAAATGAATGAATAAATATGATCTAAACTCATATTTAGAATATGCTGAACTTCCTGGGCCAAGATTTTAGCATATTCTGAATATGAATTCAGATTATATTTAATTGTTCAGGCATTTCTCTGAAACTGAAAATAAATACTCTCAAGATGGCCAAGGCATGCTAATACACACCCCAAAACACACTCTGTCATCAAGGCTCAGTTACAGCAGCATTATATGAAGGGAAAGACCTCAGATTATGATATATAAATAACTTTAGTTTTACTGTACTCAATCTAGATCATACAGTTGAGTGCAAAAAGAATGAAGGTTGGTTCATTTTTCTGGTTCTTTCTAAGAATCTATTGTACCTCAAATGTATTTGAGTATTCTTTTACATTATGTAGTTGTGTTACACTTCCCTTGGTATGGACTAATTTCAGTGAAAGCTGGAGCCTTGAGAAGGTTTTTATTCTGGAGGCCATTTTTGGCATCTGAAAAAAAAATATGCGCTAACTGCAGAGGTAGCCAGAACATACCTCTGGTCAACCTGAATGAGCCTATCAAAGAATCAGTTAAAAATACTGAGTGGTCATGCTTGTAGAGCCTCCAGAAAATGGTCATTTTGTGCTATTTTGGTCATTTTTGGCCTGTTTTAGACAAAACAAGCCATTTTCCAAAGCCTCTACAGACCTAACCGCTCAGTATTTTTGACTAATTCTTTGATAGGCTCATTCAGGTTGACCAGAGGTATGTTCTGGCTACCTCTGCAGTTAGCGCATATTTTTTTTTCAGATGCCAAAAATGGCCTCCAGAATAAAAACCTTCTCAAGGCTCCAGCTTTCACTGAAATTAGTCCATACCAAGGGAAGTGTAACACAACTACATAATGTAAAAGAATACTCAAATACATTTGAGGTACAATAGATTCTTAGAAAGAACCAGAAAAATGAACCAACCTTCATTCTTTTTGCACTCAACTGTATATGAATGACTTTGTTTTAATATGAATTCTTCTGAATTTTCGCTTCATAACACATTTTTTTTTTGTAAAGAACAGACAAGAAATGAACAAGATACACTCATTTATATAACTGAAGCTATGTCCTCAGCCACTCAGGCTGTTTTACCCACTGATATATCTGTAATGCACCTTATCTGATCTGTGGATGGGAAAATCCGTGGATCGGGTACGGTTAATACCCGGGTGTATCCATGACAGTCCCTACTTCTAATTTATAACTGTTGTCGAACATAAGTGTGACACATATCAAGGGGAGACTAGCCCCTTTCTTGTTTATAAGAAGGAGCCATGAATGGCCCCCCCATTGCAGCCCAGTCAATGGCTGATTGTTCAGTTGAATTGCAACAAGGAATGAATTCTGAGGATGTAAGCAGTGGATGATTTCCTGGTCTATGTTGAGACTTAATCTCGCTTTTCAAGGATTTGACTGAGTTTATCAAGAGGGATGGTGAACACTCCATTGGTATTGGGGAGAACTAGGACCTCTGGAAGGGAAAATTGGAGGTTGATGCTGTGCCTACCATGGTTGCCATAAAAGTCCTTCGCAGAGGCTCAAGTAGTAGGCCTGACTTTAGGGAACAATCATCAGGAAAACAGTCTGACGTGATAGATTGGCCTTATTTACGTAGACTATGTAGCTCTCATAGGTCGTTGTAGGTCACCGCTAACCTCAGTAGGGTATGGTAGGTACATTTAGTTGGATTTAGAGCATGGAAAGATATATAGGCTACAATAATATACATCATCACAGAGAGGTCAATCTGAAGTCGGGTATAGTACCAAAAGTCTCAATGATGTCATCAACATGGAATGGTCAAAGTCAAATGACATCCTTGGTTAGCGAAAGACTTGGTGCTCGTAAAACGTAGCTAGATCAATATATTTGTTGAGAGAAAAGGTTTTCCAATTGTTGAGGATTTTGAGGTGATTCCACTTGGCAGGAGAGAACTTGGTGCTGAATTTTGGAATGAGATGGCAGCCTAAGACAACATTACAAAGGGGCACAACCTCGGAAATGGGCTGATTGTGGTGGGAAGAGCGAGTAACAAAGCAGAGGCCTGAGTCGGGATCGGGGGATCGCAGCAGGTTGAACCATTCAATATAGACGAGGTATTGTGGAAGGGAGTGGTCACAATGCAAGTGATCTGGGAGAGTAAAAATTACTCACATCTGTGCTACCCGAAGTCCTGTAGGTAGATAGGTATGAATAAGATAAAGTCTTAGCATGTAATAGGTGATTGATGTACCTTCTAAGCATGTGCCCTTGGTGGCCTGGTTTCCCTTCTCACTTTCACTCCTGACAAGAACGGTGTCGAAGTTTTCAGGTGAGTCGTGTTTCCGCCCCAGAGTAAGTGGCATTGCACGGATGCGTTGCAAGGTGCCAATGTGTCCAACAGCAGCAAGGTCCTTTAAATGAATTGAAAGCCATTTGTAGATGTCGAACACATCAGTTGCATTTGGAAGGGTTGGCTGTTCAGGAGGTGGATGTGTGCATCGGATAAATCTAGTGACCAAAGTAAGGAAGTCTGTGGTGTGGAATTGGGTGACGATGTCCTTGAGCTTCACCCAATGAAAGCCAGGGTTGACTGCAAGGAGATGGGTGGCAGGTAAACCAGAGTGGGATGAGACTTCGTCATCAACTACATCAGTGTGGCTGGCACTGCCATGGCCAACTTTCTCATGACCACTTTCATCCACATCATCATTGTCGAGGTCCTCACTGTCCAGCTCTTCCTGGCTTTCGCATCGCAACAGCCAATCGAGATACTGTCCAAAACATGCTGTTGCTTCCTGCCTATCCAACCATGTCGCCATCTGTTGTATGAAGTCATGCTTATTACTTGCCCGATAACCCTCCTTTGCAAAGTCAATGTGAAGCCTTTTTGACCACTCTGTATTGTATCTGTTGGCAGATCCACGCGACTTGATGGAGGCAAAGTAGTGCATCATCTGATGAAGTTTTGGTATGTTGAAATGCTCTCAAACACCTTCTTGTATTAAAATTTCTTTGTTGTCATAAAAAGTCTTCAATGCATCTTGGAGCATGTTCAAGGTTTCCGAGGTGTGTACCTGTAACTGAGCATAGTAGATGAAATCAATCACGGCCCTTGCAGTTCGTAAAACCTGTGGCTGAACGGCGCCAACAAGAAGGCCCATGAACACGTGCTGCATCTCCTTGTGCTTGGTGCCGGTCCATTGCGAAACATTCAATATCCCATTCTTGAAGTGTCGAAGCCCTGGGTACCCTGGCATGCTTTGATATCAGTCATCCAGGAGTGGTACCTACCACTTTTATGATAAAACCTGGGCATTTGCCTGCACAGTCTTTTCAATCCCCCCAAGTGAAATATGAAATGAAATGCCTAGGCTATTTCATTCTTGCTTTGCAGCTATTTCATTCCTACCCACCACATTTTTCATTTCTCCTTGGCAATGAAATGCATTTCATTCTTTTGCCTGTGCTTTTTCATAACTTTTTCATTCTTTGCCAACTTTATTTCTTTTCTTTTCATTCTTTGCCAGTATCATTTCATTCTTTTGCCTGCACTTTTTCATAATTTTTTTTTCATTCTTTGCCAGTCCTATTTCATTCCATTGCCTGCACGTTTTCATAACTTATTATTTCATTGTTTGCCATGTTTAAGGTTAGGGTTGCACTTAAAAAAAATGAAACTCATTTCATTGCTTCTCTAAGCCTTTTCATAACTAGACACATTATTTGTTTGTAAATAATAAACATATGTATTCTCAAATTATTAGCCATAGTTTGACCTAATCAACCCCTGGCTTGTGATCTTTACATTTGTTTGTATTTGAGGCCATAATCTAACTTAATTGAGCAATAAACATGTAAATTGAGGCAACTAAAAGATCACATGTCTTATATTTTGATCCCATCATAACCAAACAAATACATAAGTTATGAAAAAGCACAGGCAAATGAATGAAATAAGACTGACAAAGAATGAAAAAAATTATGAAAAAGCACAGGCAAAAGAATGAAATGATACTGGCAAAGAATGAAAAGAAAAGAAATAAAGTTGGCAAAGAATGAAAAAGTTATGAAAAAGCACAGGCAAAAGAATGAAATGCATTTCATTGCCAAGGAGAAATGAAAAATGTGGTGGGTAGGAATGAAATAGATGCAAAGCAAGAATGAAATAGCCTAGGCATTTCATTTCATATTTCACTTGGGGGGATTGAAAAGACTGTGCAGGCAAATGCCCAGGTTTTATCATAAAAGTGGTAGGCACTAGTGCATCCAGTTCAGCTTCCCCTGCTATCTCAGTGCACCATTTCACGAGGTGGTCATGGAACATCCCTTTGTGAAGCTGATGGAGTAGGTCTGGCATAAAGCAGGAGAAGATATTGGTATGAGGGAGATCTGCCCAGAATGGTTCCCAGACTGGATGAATCCCTTCATCATTAAATTCAGGAACCCGCCGACCAGACTTCTTGTGAGAAAGTCTGACCTTTGTCCTTTCTTCATTGCATAACAATGATTCCACAAACATCCCCCTTTCTCCAGGTAACACCCGACATCTCGGGCAGTAGCTCTCTTTACAAGCTGCCACCAGGCACTGTTCAGGGAAATCGGCAACATACACAGCCAGAAGTGGGTAGACATGGCAGACAAAACCATCCGCGTAGGTAACATATACTCCATTATTCCCAGCATCAATAAGCGGTGCCAAAATCTTCTTCATGCAGTAATGAAACAACCGATAACCCTCCTGAGTGCAGGTGGCCTCTGTATAATTATCCAATTTGGCGATGGGTAGGTACCCAATCAGAACAGTCGCATGTGCAGTAGGCTTGCGCCGCTTTTCCTTATCAATATTCCCAATGCTAAGATAGACCGGCCATGCCTTCTTGTCCCCTCGAAAATTGGTCAGGTGCATTTTATCAGTTGATATAATGAGCGCTGCAACTGTCGATCCAACAGGTAACATTTTCTGGAAAATGTTCAACACTTGAATGACAGCTCGTTGTGATGGACTCAAATACCTGAATTTCCCACCACCACTCGGCTGTCCACATCTCATCAAACACCTGGTTAGTCCCCTCCTTATCTTTGAAAACTCATTTGGGTGCATAGTGTAGAGCCTCTCAGAGACTCTCATTGCCCATTAAGTCCTTCACGACTTCAACAGGATTTCGATGCCAAAGCTCGAGTTTCTCAGCAGGCATTGGCTTCTCATCATCATTGATGCAGTTTCCTGGTGCAGTAATGATCTCTAGTGTTTAAAGGTTCAGTCCATAGGACCGCAAAAAACCGGTGGACTGAACTGAACCGGACCATGGTCCGGTCTTTTTTTCGGTTGCAGTTGCCCCAATTTCGGGTTGGTCCAGTTGCCGGTTGCCTCATTTCGAAAATCTTTTAAAACCGTTCAAAGACCAGTTTTAATCGGTTGCAACCGGTTAAACGGTCATGTGCATTACATAGCCTTGTAACCACGTTTATTGCCTTTTATTGGGTTTTTGTTTCATCAAAAACGGTTAAGAACTGAGAAAGATATAACCAAATCCATATTTTACCTGAGTCTCTAGGAGATGTAATTCGGTTTCAGTCATAGCTATGTCAAATCTTCATTAAATCTCTTGAAAATTGGGAGAATGATGGGTATTTATATGCTTTACTATTTTATATAACCCGTTTATTTTTCAGAGTAATAATGGTTGAGATACAAATGGTTTATATTGGTATAATAAATGATATGCAAAAAAACCGGTCTGGATCGGTCTGAACCGGTATCATGGACTGCAAAAGACCGGTCCTAGGTGGTTCGGTTCGGTTCCCTCAATATCTGGGTTGGTCCTGGACCGGTTGCGGTCCACGGTTGCGCGTTTTCGGGGCAAAAAACCGGACTGAACTGAACCTTTAAACACTAGTCTTCAATGTAGCGGACATCATCGTGGAGTGGGTTATCTTCATCTGGAACTTCCTCAACTGTCGCTCGTTCTGACCTTCTTGGCAGTGCATCGGGAACATGAGGTTCTGGTGGTTCGAGAACAAAGTCACCCATGTTGTCGAGGTCTTGGTCCAGCTGGAAAACAACTTCCGGCTCGTCTTCAACAGGATGTTCAGCTGGGGTGGGAGCGCCTTCATTATTTGTCCCAGAAGATTCTGGGACTTGTTCTCCAGCTAGTGGTGCAGGTATGTCATCCCAAATGCTCACAGCATACTGGCCACACTCAGCTTGACGTGCGTGATTAGTGTTTAAAGGTTCAGTTCAGTCCGGTTTTTTGCCCCGAAAACGCGCAACCGTGGACCGCAACCGGTCCAGGACCAACCCAGATATTGAGGGAACCGAACCGAACCACCTAGGACCGGTCTTTTGCAGTCCATGATACCGGTTCAGACCGATCCAGACCGGTTTTTTTGCATATAATTTATTATACCAATATAAACCATTTGTATCTCAACCATTATTACTCTGAAAAATAAACGGGTTATATAAAATAGTAAAGCATATAAATACCCGTCATTCTACCAATTTTCAAGAGATTTAATGAAGATTTGACATAGCTATGACTGAAACCGAATTACATCTCCTAGAGACTCGGGTAAAATATGGATTTGGTTATATCTTTCTCAATTCTTAACCGTTTTTGATGAAACAAAAACCCAATAAAAGGCAATAAATGTGGTTACAAGGCTATGTAACGCACATGACCGTTTAACCAGTTGCAACCGATTAAAACCGGTCTTTGAATGGTTTTAAAAGATTTTCGAAATGAGGCAACCGGCAACCGGATCAACCCCAAATTGGGGCAACTGCAACCGAAAAAAAGACTGGACCATGGTCCGGTTCAGTTCGGTCCACCGGTTTTTTGCAGTCCTATGGACTGAACCTTTAAACACTATGCGTGATGACAGTTTGGTGTATTGTTAATGTGCCTTTTTAGCCCTGCGAGACTTGGAAAGGGGCCCTTTTGACAAAATCCACAGAAAGTGATAATTGGCTCAGGCGGATCCTCATGGACCCTTGTCATCTTTCTCAAGCAGGTTTGGTGGGGAGGCATGTTTGCAGTATGCGCTCTTGACGGATGGATTAAAATTGGAGCTGACGCTGATCCTTAGGTGTCTCACACATTGACTCTCTGCCCCCATTACCCTCTGCCCTGTTACACATTGCTACCAATCTTGTTACTGACGTGTTGCTGAAATCGCGTCTTTGTTGACGTTGAAAAGTCTACACTGCCACCTCCTGCTCCTATTTAAACTTGAACTACCATGTTGTCCTGCCTCATCTTCTAAAAATTAGCATGCTCTTTCCCCTTCTACTCTCTTTCATCTCAGTTTTTTTACTCAATATGCCTCCTCATCTATGCACGTCCACTCTGAAAACTGCTTCAGCCCCTGTTGTGGTTGAATCAACTTCTTCTGGACATGCTCGCACTCTATCATTGAAGCAACAACAGCTGGGTAAGTAAAACTTCTTGTATATATTATTAATCATTGGGTTCAACATTTGTTCAGATACCGACAAGGCTCTCAAGCAGGCATCAGCCAAAGACAAGGCATACACTCAAGCCCTCCGTGTTCATCAAGCACAGGAAGCAAGCATGGGCTATCAGGCAATCCTGATACAGGCTCCAGCACCTCCTTCAGCAGCTGCCAATGCTGATGGCTTGGAACCAGAGTCCGAGGATGACGAAAACCAGCCTGCTGTGCACAGTCAAGGGGTCAATTTCTTTCTGCAGTGTTATCTTTTTCTTGTACTAAATTATTCAATCTAGTTCACATCAGTCACTCTTCAGCCGATCATCAAAACATCTGTGCGTGATGGTCACCTGCTGACCCATCGTGTTCCAATCAATAAAGAAAATGTCAGCCCCTCCTTCAAAGTATGTAACATATGCCCGCTCTCCTACACATTACATAGGTACCAACAGGGGGACCATCGAAGAACCTTGTTCGACAGGTCAGTGGTCAACCTCCTCAGGCTTCACCATCTATCATCCCAGCAGCCGGTCCCTATAGCCCCAACAGTGTTTCCCTCTATGGCCAAGGTGACGGTACCTACTATACAAAAGAAAGGAGACACATGGATGCTGAAGGTGAACGTCTCTCCCTATCTGATCATATGATTGTCTAACTTTTGTTCATTCCCCAGATAGTGACGATGAGTTTGGGACAAAATTATCAGGTGTTACCTACCCACAACCGACTGAATATAGGTACCCTCAAGTACACCCTGATCTTGAAGCATTTCCAAGGTCTATGACTGAGGCCATCTTGGTGAAACCAGTATGTAATTCTGTGCAATCTATCACTTCACTACTAACTTCCTGGAGACTAAGGCTGTAACACCAGCCACCAACCCCCACATTCGAAAGGATTGTCCAGTCACCCCTGCGCCGTCAACCACTGTTATTATCAAGCGACCCAAAATGGAAACAAGCGGAACATGAGGGTGTGTTCGTGCTTCCGATTTCGACGAACTGAGCAAATCCCTCCTTGAAGAGTCCATCTCCATCTACCGCACTCAAATCGGGGGGTGTCCAACCATATCCTGACCGTCTTGAGGAGCGTGATGCCGCCACTGCAGCTTGGGTTGAGGCATGTACAGCACGTGGAGTCCGTCTTGAGTTTGACGAGGATATACTCAAATTGGTGCACATGGTTCACCGCCAATCCTTTCTATCTATCTTAACATTCCACAGATGACAGCACGTGCATCCCAAGTGCGTGGCTATCTCAAGACCACTGCTCGACCGCTTGTTGAGGCAGCTTATGGGATCAACCCCAATGCTCCCAAGCGCAAGATCAGGAACCTTATCAAAGATCTCCAAACTTGAAATAACTTCTTGTACAAGGTTTGTCAATTTCTTTTTGTTTTTTCTCTTTTACCATCCTTTCGTCTGTAGGACTTGAAGGAACACAAAGGTATCTACCGCCACCCCGCTTTTCAAACAATCATCAACAAAAACTGGTTCAAAAACAAGAGAGACAATGGTGTTATTCACCCTGAGTTCTCTGAAGGTGGTATGTTGTCAAAGGTGACCAAGGCACTTGCAATCACGGTGGTACATTCACATTAATCCCTTCAATTGTGGCACCTCCTCATCCCTTTTTGGCAGGTGGAGAATTGCCTTGATGAGTGGCAAACTGGTGAACACATTGATGTCCCCTTCACCACGGCAGCATACAAGCCCAAATTCACCACAAACCTCAAGCAACTCATCGTGTTTGACAACAAGACAAAGGAGTCCAACATCGTTCCCTGCCTCCTCAAGCATATGTTGAAAATGGCCAGGTATGTTATTGTTGCATCAGGAAACTGGTATATTTCTGTAGATCATGCAGTTCTATGGAGGTAGCATAGCCTCTGTAGGTCTCTGTAGGTGGCGAGTGGTGGCAGCAATCTTTGTAGGTATGCGTAGGTATTCAAAGTAAGATACGACAAGCTATCAAAATTTTATGGGTTTCTCACAAATCTGTACCCTTCCAGCAGTGTTCATACAATAGTTTTGAATGTTTGATCTTCATGTACGTGTTATTGACAATTGTTGCCTTGCTTGTCTTCTCCCATATCATTTCGGTTTGTTGTAGGTAGTAGAATACTTTTTTGTTACGGCATATCTAGAGTGATGATGAGGGTAAGTGAGGGCCGGGCAGAGCTTGCTGTTGTGTAAGGTTTCTCAAGGGTGTGTGGAGGCGATGGAAGAAGCCGTTGTCAATGTTCGCAGTTGAGGATAGCATGTGCATTATTTGATGTAGCAGGTGATAGTGTCATTAAGAAATCAAGTACGCACCGGCGCTGGTCGAGGGTGGGCAGATGCATTGGTTGTTACTTTATTGTGGGTGACGAAAAAATATTGAGAAGTCCATTCGAACTCTGACGGCATGTGATCATGTTGAATTCTACCGCCCTTTCTTCCCACCGTTCTTCCTTCACACCACATTGTCTGCGTGCTTTCGTCACTCCTCTCCCACTCGAACTCTCTTTGTGTTAACGGCTTTTTCCTCTCAACTTGTGCCCGAGACCTGGCCTACTAATCCGAACGGTAAGAAACTACCTTTCATCACCATCAACCTCTCAACTGCTCACCTCTACTCAGCTGTGGCCTCCTGGTCTGTTGTGGTGATCCTGATGCCAACTCCACCCCGCAAGTTTCTGTTATTGAGTCGATATTTTTGTTTTCCTCCCCAATCAAGGTCGAGCTCAGAATTGAATCCGTCCGCATTTTCTGCCCGTCCGCGTGGTCCGAGTTTTTCACTTTCAGAACAGTGCTGGAAACTCACAGCTTTCTTTCTCAACTCGCGCCCATGACCTGGCCTACAAATTTGAATGGTGAGCAACTGCCTTTCATCACCACCACCCTCTCAACCACTCACCTATACTCAGCTGTCACCCACTTGTCTTATTCAGATGGAGTTTGACAAAGACACCTCAACATTGGTACGTCAATTTAAGACAAACTTTCATTTGTTTACCAACTTTCTAGATCACAGCACATACCTCTAACACCCATGGGGCTGTCAAGTCCATCGCACATCCAATTGTTGACGCCGCTTAGTGTTTGAAAGTCTGGTTCGGTCCGGTTTTTTGATGCCCAGTGGCGTTAACCGTAACCGTAACCGGTCTGTCTTTTCCCCAGAAGTCAAAAGACCAGACCGGACCGCAAAAAGACCGCAGACCGCGGTTTTTTGCGGTCTATAGACCAGTTTCGGTCTGCATCGGTTTTAATCGGTTTATGACCGGTCTTTAGGCCAATATTTTAAAATTATAAATCGGTAAATTTATTAACATCTTTAATAGCTTCAAAACGAGCCCAAGAACGTTAAATTCCGTTAGGAATTGGTGCTTCTATAAAATAAGTCTGGTACATCTATTATTCCCAAAAGTAATTTACATTTTAATTCATATCTCTCTCGTTTTTTTACCAAATCGTACGTTCTTGGGTGCGTTTTAAAGGGTATTTGAGGGGCTACAAAAGACCGGTCCAAACCGGTCAAGACCGGTTCACGTTAACCGGTTTTTTTGCGGTCTTTACATTTCAAAAATAAAAGACCGTAACCGCAGGTCCGGTCTTTTGCGGTCTTGATCCGGTCTGGTTACGGTCTTTTTCCAGTCACGAGACCGGACTTCCAAACACTAATGCCGCTTATGGCCTTGTGAAGACCCTCAAGGATTTCCACAAGAACACAAAGGAAGACAGGGTAATGCCCTGTCTTCGTCAACATCTTCTCGGAGTTGCATGGTAAGCTCCCTCTTTCTGTCTTTTGTCAGTATTCAAGAAGCCCCAAACAGCAAGCACGCCAAAGTTGTTGACACCACCGCAGTGCGCCCTATCCAACTCAGAGCTGAGGACTTTGCCGCTGCTAGGGAGGAATGGAAGGATGTCATGTTCTCGGATGAGTAGTGTTTAAAGGTTCAGTCCATAGGACCACAAAAAACCGGTGGACCGAACTGAACCGGACCATGGTCCGGTCTTTTTTTCAGTTGCAGTTGCCCCAATTTGGGGTTGGTCCGGTTGCCGGTTGCCTCATTTCGAAAATCTTTTAAAACCATTCAAAGACCGGTTTTAATTGGTTGCAACTGGTTAAACGGTCACGTGCGTTACATAGCCTTGTAACCACATTTATTGCCTTTTATTGGGTTTTTGTTTCATCAAAAACGGTTAAGAACTGAGAAAGATATAACCAAATCCATATTTTACCCGAGTCTCTACAAGATGTAATTCGGTTTCAGTCATAGCTATGTCAAATCTTCATTAAATCTCTTGAAAATTGGTAGAATGACGGGTATTTATATGCTTTACTATTTTATATAACCCGTTTATTTTTCAGAGTAATAATGGTTGAGATACAAATGGTTTATATTGGTATAATAAATTATATGCAAAAAAACCGGTCTGGATCGGTCTGAACTGGTATCATGGACCGCAAAAGACCGGTCCTAGGTGGTTCGGTTCGGTTCCCTCAATATCTGGGTTGGTCCTGGACCGGTTGCGGTCCACGGTTGCGCGTTTTCAGGGCAAAAAACCGGACTGAACTGAACCTTTAAACACTACGGACAAGGAGGATTTGGCCTAGGCAGTTGAACCCATAACTACTTTGTATTAGATACAAATAGTTTTACATGCTTAATATATTATGACCTACTCTCCTCTCGTAACCTCTGACCCAAATAGCCTACGTGATATCACACCTACAGGTGCCTATCGTCGCCTCTATATTCACATGGTTACCTACAGAAGCCTCTATATCAGGCTACCTCCTACCCACCTCTGGAAGCTATGGAGGCTCCATAGGCCTCCATAGGTCTTTGCTAAATTCCTGATGCACACAAGCTGTTCCCTGTCCTCATCCACATCTCTTTCAGGAAACACGCCAAAGTCACCAATGCCCCAGAGGTGGCACAGGCCATTCAATTCACTGAAGATGATGTCGAGGCAGCTAAGAAGGAATGGGAATCCATGGTGTTTTCTGATGACAAGTAGTGTCAAAGTAGCGTATCAATTACTAGTAATTGCAATCTAGCCCAGTATATACCTGTATACCCTATAGCCAACCTGAATTAGTGTTTGAAAGTCCGGTTCGGTCCGGTTTTTTGATGCCCAGGGGCGTTAACCGTAACCGTAACCGGTCTGCCTTTTCCCCAGAAGTCAAAAGACCAGACCGGACCGCAAAAAGACCGCAGACCGCGCTTTTTTGCGGTCTATAGACCGGTTTCGGTCTGCATCAGTTTTAACCGGTTTATGACCGGTCTTTAGGCCAATATTTTAAAATTATGAATCGGTAAATTTATTAACATCTCTAATAGCTTCAAAACGAGCCCAAGAACGTTAAATTCCGTTAGGAATTGGTGCTTCTATAAAATAAGTCTGGTACATCTATTATTCCCAAAAGTAATTTACATTTTAATTCATATCTCTCTCGTTTTTTTACCAAATCGTACGTTCTTGGGTGCGTTTTAAAGGGTATTTAAGGGGCTACAAAAGACCGGTCCAAACCGGTCAAGACCGGTTCACGTTAACCGGTTTTTTTGCGGTCTTTACATTTCAAAAATAAAAGACCGTAACCGCAGGTCCGGTCTTTTGCGGTCTTGGTCCGGTCTGGTTACGGTCTTTTTCCAGTCACGAGACCGGACTTCCAAACACTAACCTGAATACTATCGTTTTTAGACTTTCTATATGCAACTATATGACCTAACAGCCTATTGGGGTTTTGTCCTATCATCAAATATGGCAACCTAAGTAATGTTGGCGGCGTCTACAGTGACCAGTATAGTAGGGGGTACCTAAATACCTACAGCTACATAGGTCTTAACTTTTTTCCTGATGATTAATAAAGGTATGCTTTAGAATTGGGCCCATACAGCCCCAAGTTTGCTGAAGCAGCGCCCAGGATCTTCGTCGACAAGGACGTATCTGGCTGGGGCTGTCTCATCCTCATGTGGCCAAATTCTATGGATTCGTCTATAATTTCGGCATGCTCCCTGGGCTAGTGCTCGAGTTTTATGAAGAAAAAAATGTCATGGAGTACATGAAGTGTGAAAGTTCTGATGATACAAAATTACGACTAGTTCGTTTCCGTTTCTTCCTAAAAGAAGCAGAATTCGAACTGGTACTTATTGACAGGTTGGTGAAATTGCTTTAGGTTTAAAGTACTTGCATCAACAACGGCCTCCCGTAATTCATGGTGACTTGCGAGGGGTCAGTCTCTCCCTGTCCTATTTTGGTCAATAACCACAATTTATAGCAAGGCAAATGTACTCGTGGATAGCAAAGGACACGCCATTGTTGCTGACTACGGCCTAGCGTTAATTATGGGTTCGTCTGAGTTCACTTCCATCAAAACCGCGGGAACTTGTCGATGGACTGCCCCGGAAATTATGAATCCGCCAAACAATGGCGACGTCCCGTTGCCTCAATTTACCTTCAAAAGTGATATATTTTCGTATGCTATGACTGTCTTTGAGGTATATCTCCATTCCTTTTCTCTATATTTGAATTCTCATACACCTCAAAAAAAAAATTTGCTGGAGAGCAACCATTTAACGAGAAAAAAAGTGACGGCAACGTCATCTTTGCGATCTTGAACGGGAGTCGCCCAGTGCTTCCGGAGTCTATTGAAAGCAAGGCCGATCTCGCAAACCTCGTCAGACAGAGCTGGAGTCAGAACGCCGATCAAAGACCAACCGCTCGTCAGATCTGCCGCAGATTGAGATTGGTACGAGTAGTTTTTCTTTTGAAACCACATCTCTAACCGATTTCCAGACAACTTGGTATGGGGATTGGTTTGTCGCATTTTTCCTCAAGTTTGAGTTGCTCTCTGACCTTGTTACTAGGATGGACACTCTCCGTGGATATCTGCCACTGTAGCTCGCGTTTCTAATGTCGTGATTTTTTGTGTGCCATTGGTATCCGTCCTTCCGGAAAAACTCGTTCTGCTTTGGGATTGTTATGCTGCTACGTGTTTCCCTGTTCCCGTCAAGAACGGATTGTTTTGCCCATTCACGTCAATCTCTCACATTAGCTGGACGAATGTGTCACTAGACCGTCAAGCGTCAAGATTAGACAGGCGTCTTCAGAGCTGTCACTTATGGTTACAATGTGTAGCCAGCGTGTAAAAAACGTGTTCTTGACGTTACAACGACATTTTAAGCGCGCCCTTCCCGCGTAGATTTTTCCGTATTCACCATGTGATGCAGTTGACAACATTTGAAGAAAGATAAAGTGGGATGGAAGATGGACGAGGAAATTCCAGAACTGATACCTTGGTTTCCTTGAACGTTCGGCATGGTTGCTAATGGCATTGGTGTCCCGAACATGAAGGTGATTGTCAACCGTTCGGCAGCCCTTCTCACTTACTTATATTACTACGTCCTGCAGCGTTTGGACAAGGAGATAGAGGAAACTTCAAATTTTCCCATTTTTTCTGGTGGTTACGCGGACATATATTCTGGAGTTTGGCGTGGTGGCCGAGCTTTCTTAGCTCCTGGAGTCTGGACAGCTGGCAAAGCAACCTCTGGCCAAAATGTCGTTGTGGGTATTGTTCCCCCTCCTGATTCATTAACACCAACGTGCATCAAGGTCACCATCAAAGTCTTTCGAAATGCACACAACAAGGCGAATACTCCCGAAGCTCGGCAGAAGTATGAGACGGCGAGTATCCTCTCTCCCTTTCTTGACCGTCGCTGGTTCTTATTTGATTAAAACCGCCAGCTTTTGAACAGTGAACATCGTGTTTGGGCACTTCTTTGCCATCCAAATGTGCTTCCCGTGTTCGGCTTGGTCGAAAACCCAGCAATCCCTTCGATGGGTATTGTGGCACCGCGCTGCACTTTCGGCGATCTGCGCGCCTTTTTATCTGACCCGACAAGACCATCATCTGTCAATAGAATTGCTATCGTGAGGGCCACCTTGATGGCATGAAATTTCAATCTGAGTGTGACTTTTTTTTAGGTGAAAGCAATTGCTGTTGGCCTTACATACATACATGGGGAAAAGGTGGTTCATGGTGATTTGACGATGGTAAAGATATCATTTGTTTCCATGACTGGCAAAAAAATCTTAATCTTGTACTGAATAGGGAAACGTCCTCATCGAGGTTATTGATGGAAATATCACTCCGCTTATATCTGATTTCGGTCTATCCCGCGTCCTCGAAATAAAAGGCTATACTTCCTCAATTTTTAGTGCGGTGCATCGGTCAGGGAGACTTTGTTTTGGAGCGCGATCTTCGTAACTAATCTGAAGGAACAGACACCTGCCCCCAGAAATTTTGTTGGCTGAGAATGGGGATCGGACTACGAAGGCCCTGACCCAGGAAGCTGACGTTTGGTGCTTTGGTATGCTGATGCTCGAGGTTCGTGCTTTTAAATGCGTCACATCCTTTCTATCTACTTATGTACTCAATACATTGCTTCAGACCCTTTCGGGGAAACCGCCATTCTTTCATTTGAACGAATACCAGGCAGCAAAGGCCGTTGCATCTGACGGCAAGATACCTGACCAAAACGGCTATCCTGTTCTGCCGCCCGACGACGCCTGTTGGCCAATTATGGGGAAATGCTGGCAGAGGGAGCCTTCGGACAGGGAGAAAATTTGTAAATTGTTGCAAGACCTAAACACTCTCAGGAAGTAACACCCGCAGGCCACATGCTTTACTTTCGTCCCCTTCACGATACATCTCATATATATCCATCTAGTATGTATCATCTTTAGTTTCGTCGAGTTCCATGCAATGATTCGTGAATGAAATAAATATTAGTCACTAATATGTTTTCTAACGTCTAAGGTATTATACTGTCTACTTTTTAACAACAAGGGTCCTGCGGTAAGCCTCCTCAAGATCCTTCTGAAGATTTGGCAGAACAGGCATGTGATGCTTGAGGAAGAAGGTTCAGAACTACAGAACAGCCAACAGAGAAGAAAAGGACGAACCTTATACTCCATGCTGAATTCACCCTTCCCTTGAGTAGACCCACGAAGTTGGTTGGAATACCCAAACATATCGTTCAGCGCCACCTCAGCGGCAGCAGTGAACTCATCATCGCGGACTTCGCTGTCAACAATGGTGCCACGACGAGTGTTCAATCCACCAATAACTTGACCTAGAGTCGCCAAAAGTGATGAGAAAAGGAACGATATATAAATGAGCATTATTACTCTGGAATTCAACAGGAGCAACGACTTCCACATTCATGATTGGCTCCAAAATAACACCCTTCGCCATCTTGAATGCCTCACGGAAAGCACCGATTGTTGCAAGTCGGAAAGCCAGTTCAGACGAATCGACGGCATGAAAAGCACCATCCTTGAGCACGAAACGGCATCCGAAAATGGCGTTACCAGATAAGGCACCTTTCTCAAGTGCTTCATAGAAACCCTACCAATTGAAAGACATCAAAATAAAGTCGGAAGTTTATGAGTGATGAAGTGACCTTTTCGATGGCAGGAATGAAATTGGTAGGGATGTTCCCACCCATGACCACGCTCTCAAAAGCAACGTCCTTTCCGGTCTCTGGGTCAGGTTCCATCGGCTCGATGTACCCGACAACTTTGGCGTATTGACCCGCGCCTCCAGTCTGCTTCTTGTGCGTGTAGGCGAAATCGGCGCGTTGAGTGATAGTCTCACGGAATGCTACGCGAGGTTTTCCAGTGACGCAATCAGTGTTGTATTCTCTGCGCATGCGTTCAACATAGATTTCAAGGTGAAGTTCTCCCATGCCGGAAATAATGGTCTAGATAGGAAGCGGTGGTTAGCCGGACATTGATAAGAAGACGGGATATGTAGAAGCCGGACCTCTTTACTCTCATGATCGATGTGAACTTTGAATGTAGGATCTTCCTTCTGGAAGCGATTCAAAGCACGCGAGAAATTTGGGGTTTCAATGCCTTTCGGTTTGATGGACAGCGAGATAACCGGTTCTGGAACATACATGTTCGTCTAAGAGTAAGATTAGTTGATAGATAGCAACGCAGATCCTGATACGATGCTTACCATGGAAAAGCTGGTAGAACCGTCCGTGAAAGTATCGCCTGAAGAACATTCCACGCCAAAAATGGCACAAATTTCACCAGGACCAATGGATTCAATATCCTCCATCTCATTACTGTGCATCCTAACGAGACGGGGAACCTTGACTTTCTTGCCTGTGCGAGCGTTGTAAATCTGGTTGCCCTTCTTCAAGGTCCCTTGATAGACCCGCATGTAGGTCAACTGGCCGAACCTGCCCTCCTCCAGCTTGAACGCAAGACCAACCAAGGGGGCGTCCGCAGCAGGAGTTAGTTGAACCTGAGGCGCAGAGGAGGGTAAACTCGTATCGTGCGCGAGCACCTCGGATTCAGCGGGATTGGGGAGGTAAGCGCACACACCGTCAAGCATGGGCTGAACGGCCGTGTTCTTGATCGCAGAACCGAGGAAGACCGGGGAGAACTTGAGGGCAATTGTGGAGCGTCGAATAGCAGCGGCGATCTGGTCGTTATTGGGCAATTCGTCGTTGAGGAAAAGCTCCCCAATCTCTTCGTCTACCTCGGCAAGTTGTTCAACAAGTTCGTTGCGCTTGGCCTTGGCGAGTTCCATAACGGATTCGGGAATTTCCTGGGATATAACGACCTCATTTCTAGGAGTTATTGAGCTCGCAGCCAAGAGAACAAACACAAAGGGGAAAAACTGACCCTTTCTGGCCCTCGTTGTAAATAGACCTCCAGTGTACGAGATCAACGACACCCTTGAACTCGTCCTCAATACCAATGGGCACCTGAACGGCAGCAGCAGGTATGCGAAGCTTTGACCGGATTTGGTTGACAATTCTCCATGGGTTGGCACCAGGCCTGGAGAAATGTTAAGAGACAACCGTTTAAGTAAAATTTTTGCAAATACCTATCCATCTTGTTAATGAATGATATACGAGGAACACCATACCGTCTCATTTGTCGGTCGACCGTTGTAGTTTGACTCTTGAATGAATGTTACACATATTCTAGGTTAAAGATCGTTTCGCACACCTGGACACCAGCCACAGCACACAGAACTAAAATTGCACCATCCAGGACTCGCAGCGCACGCTCAACTTCGATAGTGAAGTCTACGTGTCCTATTTATTCATGAAGCTGATGAGAATCACAGTAAAATTTGGAAAAATTACTGTTCATCTCACCTGGTGTGTCAATAATGTTGATAGCATAGTTTTGTTTATTGCCGGTCGCAACGTCCGTCGTTTCCCAGTCGCAGAAGGTCGCCGCACTCTGGATTGTAATCCCCTTCTCTCTTTCCAGGTCCATGCTATCCATCTTGGCTCCTACAGCATCCCGACCACGAACCTAGTGTTACACACATTAGAACATATAGGATAGACAGCAGACACCTGTGGTGGTGAAGAATAACACCAACACCGAGACAAGGAGGCTTGAGGAAGAAATCTCACGCCCTCAGCAGTGAGGTCTCCGTCTCTTGCTCAATGAGTCGGTTCTTCGTGCCAGCCGTACGTCACCACAGGCGCCTGGTAGATGACACGCGAACCTCATGAATTTGGCTGATGCGTCCGGTATAATATAAAATTCGTTCCGTCAACGTTGTTTTGCCAGAGTCAATGTGAGCAGAGACACCAATGTTGCGCTGAAATCTGAGTCGTTGGTGATCCTTTTCCGTTAAAACATGTTGAGGAGAGGGTGGAAGCTCTTCCTCGGTTTCAGGAGTGGGTGCTGGCTGCAATGCAGTTGCTGAAGCCGCCGCTCGTCTTGCACATGATGAGAAGGAAAGCCGGTTGGAGAACCAGACCGATTTTGAACAACACGACTGGGTGAACGCCCGACCCAGAAACATGTTCGCCAGTTGCCCCGAGCGAACTGGTAACGGGGGACACGGGATGACGGGAATAAGATGGCAAGTGCGGGTCCAGAAAAGTTTCGAAAAAAGTGTATTACGTAATTGACGGCAACTATAGACCTGCTATGGACAACGTATAGATCTAGTACAGCAAGCCACCCTTCAATGCATCCTTATGGCCATATTTTTTGGAGCTGTAAGAAACAGAACATGTGTGGGGATGAAGAGATCCACGTAGCGGAGGTGCGAGATGCTGAGTGTTGTGTGAGTTCTGTCTTCATTAAGTTCGTCGGTTATAGTCCAGGGCGTAGTTGTCACGGGTTTAGCCCAAGTCGCTCGCGCCGTCGTCTGAGTCTATATCGAGGGGTTCGGGAGACGGCGAAGGGTTCTCGGAGTCCCTCAAGCACTGGCCTGGTAGCATGATTCCTTTCGATATTCATAGTCTGAGAGCGAAGGTTCTCGGCAATTCTCCTGTATGGCACCCCGGCTTTGCGTCAGCCTTTGCACTCCTTAATGATGTATTCGCAGGTTTTTGTGTCATATCCAAACTGATACCTGGTGCTCACCTTGTGAGAGAATTGTCTCTGGCATTCTCTTCCAGGATTATATCTCCTTTTGCGCGCGAACTATTTCAACTTCAAAATAACTTGAGCGAACAGGAAGTGTGCCTGCCTTCCATTTACTTTAAGGATGTTGACGTGTAGACGTAGTGCCGTGTGTATTCCTCAAAGAGAGATTGGCATGTTGCTTGGTTTAGAAGTTACGTCAAATTTGCACTGGCACTTTCAGGTAGCACTGAGTTGCACCGCGTTCGAAGATATAAGGCCTATATATTAAACGATGGGTGGCTTGTTGGTGACGACGAATACAGGGATGTAAGACGCAACCAACGCCGATACACATAGTCTAGAAACGGATGTTCAGGACGGTAGTTGCAGTCTCATGACAGTCAAGCCACATACAATAAGTTTGACCACCCCCCACCAGAGCCCTCCTTCGCGCGTAAAGGGTGTTGGTTGATCAGAGAGTTAATGCCGAACAGCACTGCTGGCCAGGCCAAATACCTGTCGGTTGGAAAACAATCCGTAATGAGGACAACATCATCAATGAACAATTGCAAGACGCTTAACGCACCGATTACGCGTAACCATGATAAGGCCGGAGAAGAACATCCCCGACGTGCTCAAAGCCTCTGAAAGCACAATAATGAGACTAATCATGATACTACGAGTGACTCGCGACGAACCATTTGATTCTTTGTACCAGTTTTTCGGAAGAGAGAACGGAACCTCTAAAGAGGCATCTCTGGGGTCGTCATGCGAGTTCTTCATGGACGACATTTTGCAGAGAATAAAATCTTTGGGGAGGTGGACAAGATAGCTGGCAGGCACTACGTCACATTGAACGTGACCGCCAGTTACTTGTCACCATGGCGCGTAGGCTTGGGCCGCTTGGCTGAGGCCAACACGTATCCAACCAAATTGAACCAATCACAGACAGATCACAGAAAAAAAATTCATTCATCCGGAAAAAGTCCAAAGGACCTGACGCGGTCGTGATAGATGGCCTATGAAATACAATGGGCTACTACATATGTAAAGGGAATGTAAAGACAACTTGATAGAGATGTTTTCCTTGACGGAAGAAATCGTAGCTACAAAATTAGCTAACTAGCTAGCATAATAATATACGAGAAGTGTCCCGCGAGCCTTGCGTTCGACCAGTGTAATAAAAGCGTGGATGGATTTAGTAAGTGATACGAGTGTCCGGTGTCGTCCAATAATTCCAAAAGTTCGTTTGCTACTAGGCTTAGTGTCCCATTAATGCGACGATGAACACAGCGACGAAAATCGCTGCCGATCCTGAAATTTGAATCCTCGAAGCAGAAGAGGATTTCGCGCCTTGCGCCGCACTGATCGACGGTGCGGGCCCAGCTTCTGATGTGGTGACCGTAGCCGCCGCGGTAGAAACGGGGACAACTGAGGGCGCCGGGCCCATACTTGCAATGTCTAGATCAGTAAGAAATATGCGTTTTAGAATCTTTCGCAGTCTTTAGAAATGTTACCGACATTGTGAAAATGATGGCTGGGTAGGCGTGCTCTCGGCGTACGGCTGAGATTTGTTCAACGCCACTCCAACTGGGACGACGTACTGTTCAACAAATAGGTTAGTACTCTTGGACAAGAACAAATTAAGAAAATTGACGTTGAAGGCAGCCCTGATAGATGGGTACCACTTGATCGCCTCAGACATGGTATAATTGTTCAACTCATGCGTGAGCATGATGGCACCGACCTGAAAAGATAGAAACCGTCGATAGGTTATCATCCAGTTTCAATCCAGTTTCGTGAAAAGGAAAATAACGCACAGTATCAAACGTCCCGTTATTGGCAGCATCGATGAAACTCTGGTAATTTTGATCCACCGTGGCCTCAGTGACGCCTGCTGTACCTACTTTCCAATCAGACGAATCGTACTTCCACAGGATAGTACGAAGTCCAAGAGCGTTGGCAATAGCGCGAATACGATCATCGACATCACCATACGGAGGCTAAAAAGGATGGGTGATAGATCAGTTACGGGTCAGAAAACAAAGTCGTAAACGAACCCTCCAGCAAGTGGGTGTAACTCCAGTGACAAGCTTTATTGCTTGCATCTATGAAGCTTCGGTCAGCAAAGCAAATGGCTTCTCATCAGAGTGCGACGAACGGCTATTGGAAACTTTTCAGGGATTCACGGGAGAGTGAACGGGAAGGAACTGACTGTAGTACAACTCCGCGAACGCATCGGGACTGCTGAAAGACGTCACTGGATAACTCGTCAAACGTAATCTCATGAAGAAGAAAAATAGGTTCTGACTGTAGCGATGTGACCAGGTATCTTGAAGTGCATATTTAGGACAAGTCATTGCGAAAAACGTTATTACACTTACGGACGCAAACTTCATGGCCTGGAGGCAAAAGTATGATCATCAGACACACAGAAGAAAGTTCGTGCAGAGATGGGTACCATCGGTAATTGCCCTCTGTGCCTCGAGGGGCCAGTCCAAAACGTTACTGCCAATATAATACATCGCTGGACGAAAGAATTGAGCGCCGAGTCGACTGTGATTCCCTGAAACCACGCACTGGCTTTTTGTTTCTGAGATGTCAAATAATCATAAAATGCGTTATGTGAACAGTTTGGTCCATCGTCAAATCCATATCCGAGGGTCTTGGGCTATTTTCAATCGAGGGTTAGAAAGGACCGGACTTAGGCGAAAGTAGGGAACTTACTTCTGGAACACTAGAGATATCCATCGGAAGCCCTGCCAATTTAGGCGTAACGCACTGGTGATACGTCCACCAACAATCGGCGTCAGTCGCGTTGTATGTGACGTTTGTGAAATTGCCAGTGATGGTGCCCTAGATTAGGATATGATTACTCTTCGACGAAGAGGCTAAGGAAGAAAGAAAACAACTTTTGGCTGTATATTAGTCGGGACATTGGGGGAGATAGCTGCCCATTTGTTCATTGCGTTGGTGTCGTTGGGAAGGATTGACGCGGGCTGCCATATTGGCGGGAACGAGGAAATACTGGTCGACACAGGAGCATAGTAGTAGGGAGCACAACCGCCGCCAGTAGTTTGTCGACGCACTACGGCAGAGCGTTCCGCATTTAGTAATTCGTCGTTGCCAAAGGACTATAAATGCTCACGATGATCGACCTCCCTCCTGACGATTCCTGCGTTAACCCCCAGCTGCAAGGAAGAGCCAAGCGCGATGACGGTGCATAGCTTCTGAAGCAGAGAAAAGAGAGTGGGCGAGGTGGCCATTTTTGGATCCCAGGCGGAGGTATTGAAAGCTCCTTGAAAGCGTTGTGATTTCGTCAAACGACGCCGCCTTCAGTACTCCGTCAAACAATCCAACACGAGGGGAGACGGCGGGCACGTTCTTGAAGGGAGGAAAGGAAAGTGGAGCAAGGCTTTGGAAACGAGGCGTGCGGTCACTAATATAGGCCTAATAATAGCTCGCGTACAAATGATAAATATACTTACCTTCGTTTTGCCGCGTTTTGATCCCCGTGAGGGCAACGGGCGGCCGAGCGCTTGATAACCGGAATATGACGATGAAAAGCATGTTGGGGTCCATAAGTAGGGCACGTGAGGAAGAAAAAAGGGGACACCTAGCCAACTGACTTTTCGCCGTTTGGTTACAGCTAACTGCATAATCGTAGACCACATCTGAAATTTCACTTTGCGCCTTTGTCTGTGCGTAAACATCCGTTTTAGGCCGTGGCTATGTAAACCATGACGCCGATTCGCGCGCGCTGCCCATTGCTCCAAGTTCTAGCACCGTTTCGGTAGTTGCTCCAAACGCTCCAATCCCGCCCCGCACGTCATAAGGGTGGAGCGGTTGGAACTTGCCAACTTGGAAGGGCGTTCTACCTAATACGGTTATTTGTACAAATAAAGGCGCACAAAGTAAAATTTAGATATGGTCTACGGTTATGCAGTTAGCTGTAACATAGGTAGCCGACTTTTGCAGATTGTAGTCAGAATAATGCAGCCAACGAAGCTTGTACTGGACGGCATCAGCACAATGAAGCTGTGCGTCATGGAAGGTGTCGATGTCAAGGTTAGCTCTGGGAAAGCACAGTGCCGAAGGTGCCGTGGATGAAACCCGGTGAAAATCAACTCCGATCAGGCCGAGTCACAGTGACTATGGTCGATTTGTGTGGCTTGTGTGAGCATCAATCGAGTTAGATATATTTCAGGCGATTTGCAAGGCTGACCCACACTAAAAACCGCACTGCGTACATGGCTTACAGTTGCGGACAACTAAAGTCAACAAATTTATAGACCGATTTATTGAGACCGGTAGGGATTTTTTAAAAGTCCGAAAACCATCGGAATAGGCAGGAATTGAGTAGATCTTGCAAATGGTACGAGCCGATTTCCCAAAAGTGAAGATTTGTCAGAAAAAAGGTCCAAAATTTTGGCACAGGCCCAAAAAAATCGATAAAATCTCGAAAAAGTCATTTTTGGATAGATCTTGATGAGTACTGTCAGAATCCACCGAAAGAATAAAAATAAAATAGATCCTCCCCTTTAAAAAAAATTGCTATTATGCTGCCTAAACCTAGAGGCTGTCCTCCTAAAAAACATTGCAACCTTGCACGCCTCCAAAATAACCCTTTTTTGACTTCCATTCCATCAGTGACATCATTTTCTCAAGGCCGTCAGACTGTCAGTGAGGGAGATGATGAGGAACTGATCACGAGATCTCGAGAGTCACATCCATTGCACAAGAAAAATGAGGCAAGGGAAGCTGAGGATTCAGGAGAAGAGATGGATATGCAGAGAGTAATTGGGATGAGCTTGATTAGCAGGATTTTCCTGAGAGACTGGCTGAGATGGCGGTGTAGGATGCAAAAAAATTGGCTCAAAATTTTGGCACAGCCAAAAACTCGTGGGAATAACATGAAAACACCATTTTTGAGCTCCTTTTGCCTGTCCAGTTTCAGATCTGTCGTCAGATTTCCATCAAAAAATCTGGTTCCTGAGATACTCAATTTGTTGACTTTAGTTGTCCACAACTGTACATTGTGTACAGTGCTTTGCATTGCCGTTTGCACACCGAAATTGCGAAAATTATGTTTGGTTTTGTATGTTCGTCACAGATTGTCACGCATCAGAACGAGATCTGAGCACTTTGGGAATTTTGTATTTCTCAAACCCAACTTTTGTTGCACCTCAGGCATCGGATGAGATGCGCGTGCGAATCATCGTTTGCCATGATGAGCAACATCTTTCACCGCAGGAGATTGCAGGCCTTATTGGATGTTGCGTCCGGTAAGCGGTCACGGTACAACATACACAAACAGGATTTCCAAAACTCGTTGTGCAAACGGCAGTGCAAAGCACTGTAATATCGAATTGGATCGAACTCAAATCTATTTGTATAGAATTCTGTCGATAAAACGACACCTTACAAGGACCCCGGGCAATAGCAGAAAAGGCCTGATCCCGAAAATTGGGTTTTTGTCCGGACGCCTCTGCACCAAATTTGTCCGGACTGGACCTGGCCTACCACACCCCAATCTCAAAAATTTGTCCGGACAGCCAGATCAGGGTAAATTTTTCTCTACAAATGTCCCACAATTATGCCCAAATACCGGCTGGGAGGCTTTTTTTTTGACATCTCGTCGATTTTGTCCGGACTCTGGTCGAATTTTGTCACTTTTTGTCCGGATTGGCCCCCAGCTGTAGGGCCTAAAATCCACATTTTTTGTCCGGATCGGGACCAGGGCTTTCCTGCTATTGCCCGGGGTCCTACCTTACATCGCTTCAATTCTAGGCAATCAGATCTACCTCGGAATAACCCGAGTCATTTTTGACTGGGGATGAAAGGCCACGAGGAAGCTGGGTGAGAATTTACAAGCCTCATCGGGAAGGTGCGGACTGCAGACCAAGGCTCTCGATTATATATAGACCACAAGTCAACAAGCCTGAGGCACATCGGTTGGTCACTTGGAGCCAGAAGATGTATACCACTGAGAGGGGCAAGGAGGAGCACTGCCAAGAAGAAAGGAAATTTGGGCCGCCGGCACATCGCCAATTAGAACCAAATAAGCTACTACAACTTTATGGAGAACTTTCCTCAATTTGAGGCTCAATCTCGCTAGTTGTTACTCAAGCACTCACTTGCCATGCATGTAGCCAAAGTAGATAAGATATTTATGCAAATGAAAATGTCGTATGATTTTAGACAGGAGTCATTGGTAAGTACAGCCTTGGCTCCTGCCAATCCTTGATAGGTAGATGCATCGTGACAATTGACATGTACCTACAATGTCATAGTTTTTTTTTAGCAGGACAAAAGGCCACTTGCATGTCATTCATTCGCAAAAAAGTCCGAAAGAGCGACACGGTCGTGACGAAATACTGGGCGAGGGAAGGAAATGTCACAACGTGATAGATCTAGACATCATGATGCTTTCCTCGACGAAAGAAATTGCAGGTAAAAAATTAGCTAACTAGCATAATAATATACGAGAAGTGTCACCACGAGCCATGCGTTCGCCCAGTGTAATAAAAGCAAGAAAGGGTTGATGGGTGGGTTTTTAGTAGTAAGTGTTACTATGTTAAACGAGCGAGGTGTCCGGTGTCGTCCAATAGTTCCAAAAATTCATTCGCTAATAGGCTTAGTATCCAATTGACGCAGCGATGAACGCAGCGACGAAAATCGCCGTCAACCCCGAGATTTGAATCCGTGAAGCAGAAGAGCTCGTCCCGGTTTTCGCGCCCTGCGCCGCGTTGATCGACACTGTCGGTGCTGGGGCTTCCGATGTAGTGGCAGAATTCGTCGCAATAGAAATGGGAACAACTGAGGGCGCCGGAGCCATACTTGCGACGTCTGAATCAGTTAAAAAAAATGCATTTTATAAAGTTTCGCAGGAATTAGAGAGGTTAAGAACCGACATTGTGAAAACGACGGCTGAGTGGGCGTGCTCTCGACGTACGGTTGAGTTTTGTTAAGTGCCACTCCAACTGGGACGACCTACTGTTCGAACAATAGATTAGTATTCCTGGTCATCAATCAACAAGAACAAAAAATTTGACCGTGAAGGCAGCCCTGAGGGATGGGTACCACTTAATCGCCTCGGACATGGTATAATTGTTCAACTCATGCGTGAGCATAATGGCGCCGACCTAGAGGTAGAAACCGTCAATAGGTTGTCATCCAGTTTTCGTAGAAAAAAATAACGCACAGAATCAAACGTTCCGCTATTTGCACCATCGATCAAACCTTGGTAATTCTGATCCACCGTGGCCTCAGTGACGCCTGGCATACCCTCCTTCCAATCGAACGAATCATACTTCCATATAATAGTACGAAGGCCAAGACCATTGGCGATGGAGCGAATGCGATCGTCGACATCACCATACGGGGGCTAAAAAAGGATGGGCGATGGATCGATGACGGGTCGGTCAGGGGACAAAGACGTAAACGAACCCTCCAGCAAGTGGGCGTAACTCCGGTGACAAGTTTTATTGCTTGCATCTACAAAGCTTCGGTCAGCAACGCAAATGGCTTCTCGTTTGAGCGCGACGAACAGCTATTGGATTTTTTTTCAGGAGTTCCACAGAAAGTGGGCGGGAAATAACTAACTGTAGTACAACTCCGCGAATGCATCGGGGCTGCTCAAAGCCGTCACTGGATAACTCATCAAACGTAATCTCATGGAGAGAAAGATAGGTTCTGACTGTAGCGATGTGACCAGGTATCTTGAAGTGATTTAGAATAAGTCAATGCGAAAAACGTTATTACACTTACGGACGCAAACTTCATGGCCTGGAGGCAACAGTAGATCATCAGACACACGGAAGAAAGTTCGTGCAGAGCTGGGTACCATCGGTAATTGCCCTCTGCGCTTCGAGAGGCCAGTCCAAAACGTTACTGCCAACATAAAACATCGCTGGACAAAAAGAAATTGAGCAACAAGTCGACGGCAATCTCCCTAGAGAAGTACGCACTGGCTTTTTGTTGCTGCGATGTCAAATAATCATAAAGCGCGTTATGTGAACAATTTGGTCCATCGTCAAATCCATATCCGAGGGTCTTGGGCTATTTCCGATCGAGTGTAAGGAAGGACCGGCCGCGGGCTTCGACGAAAGTAGGCAACTTACTTCTGGAACACTAGAAATATCCATCGGAAGCCCTGCCAATTTGGGCGTAACGCACTGGTGGTACGTCCACCAACAATCAGTATCAGTCGCGTCGTATGTGACATTTGTGAAATTGCCAGTAATGGTGCCCTAGAGTAGGATATGGTCACTCTTCAATGAAGAGCCTAAGGAACAAAGGAAACAACCTTTGGCTGTATATTAGTCGGGACATTGGGGGAGATAGCTGCCCATTTATTCATAGCGTTGGTGTCGTTGGGAAGGATTGACGCGGGCTGCCATATTTGTGGGAACGATGCAATGTTGGTAGACACAGGAGCATAGTAGTACGCAACACAATCGCCGCCAGTTCGTCTATGCACTACCGCAGAGTGAATCGCATTTAGTGGTTCATCGTTGCCAGAGGACTATAAATGCTCACAATGTTCGGCATCCCTCCTAACGATGTGTGCATTAACCATTGGCAGCAAGAGCGAGCCAAGCGCGATAACGGTGCATAGCTTCTGAAGCAGAGAAAAGACAGTGGGCGAGGTGGCCATTTTTGGATTTCAATTGGAGGCCGCCTTCAGTATTCCGTCAAACAGAATATATCACCCCAACGCGAGGGGGAACGGCGGGCACGTTGTTGAGGGAAGGAAAGGAAAATGCAGCGAGGATTGAAAATTAGGCGTGCGGCCACTCAAATAGCCCTAATAATAGAAGTGATAAATATATACCCTTAGTTCTGCCGCTTCCAGTTTCGATCGATCTTTCCCCGTGAGAGCACCGGACGGCAGAGCGCTTAATAAAAGGAACATGACCATGAAGAGCGCGTCGAGAATGGACGTGACCACGTGAGGGAGGAAAGGGGGACATCTAGCCCAACTGATTTCTCGCCCTTCTGTTAACATGGCTAGCCGATTTTTGCAGATTGTACTCAGAATGATATCTAGTAATAAAGCCAAGGAAGCATGTACTGGACGGCATCAGCGTGGCGATAGTGCAATGAAGAGGTGCGTCATTAAGTATCGTTGTCAAGCTTAGTTTAGCTAACCAAGAGTACGCGCCGTCCAAGATAGTGATGGACGCGATAGGGTATCCGTGAGCTCAAAGATACCTTGCACAAAGACAAACAACGGCGGTGGAGTGTTCAGTAGAGTGTCGTTGAAGGTGCCGCGGATGAAAGGCCACGAGGAAGTTGGGTGCAAATTTACAAGCCCGTTGAGAAGAACTTGAAAAGAAGAAGAAACCACGCAAAATCAAATTTTGGTTGTCGGCACATTGCCAATCGGAACCAAATAAGCTGCTACACCTTAGTGTTGAACGTTGACAGCTAACTGCATAATCGTAGACCACACCTGAAATTTCACTTTGCGCCTTTATCTGTGCGTAAACATCCGTTTTAGGCTGTGGCTATGTAAACCATGACGCCCATTCGCGCGCGCTGCCCATTGCTCCACGTTCTAGCACCGTTTCGGTAGTTGCTCCAAACGCTCCAATCCCGCCCCGCACGTCATAAGGGTGGAGCGGTTGGAACTTGCCAACTTGGAAGGGCGTTCTACCTAATACGGTTGTTTGTACAAATAAAGGCGCACAAAGTAAAATTTAGATATGGTCTACGGTTATGCAGTTAGCTGGAACTTGCAGTGATCAAGCACTCACTTGCATTGTTGCAAGTTGCCTTGTGTATGCAATGAGAAATTGAAATCAACCAGAGCAGATGAAAAAAACGGAAATGTGTAGCCCCGTACAATTAATACACAGTACACTACGAACTGTCCACCGCCGCCCAAGCTCCTGCCAAGAAAGCCACGCCCAGCAGCACTGCGCGTCCACAGTTCATCCTGCTCCACGTCTTAATGTCATCCCTCAACCTCAGCCCGACCTGCGTATCTTCCTCCTTGATCTCACCCTGGATCCTTTTGATGTTGGGCATCATAACCGCGAGCGTATATGGCACGATGCTCACTCCACAGCAAGCGGCTAAGAGGTACAGTGGGCGGGCCTCGGCGGGAACATTGTATGCGAGGTACAGGTAGAGCGCAGAGGTCCCCACGATAAGCAATGGGAAGAAGCGCTTGCCGGTGTCGTAGACGTGCTGCCATTGCATTTGTAAAACCTTTGCAGGAAGGACAACTCCTTGTCCTTCGGCTTTGTAGCTACAGGGAGAGAGCATCGCTGGGATCGCGAAGGCGGAGATGTAGAAGTTGCCGCCTGACAATGATGAGATAGAGGGTAAACGAGGCGAGGATGCAACACGTACCAAACGAGATGCTTGAGCCCACGAGCGCTGCTACTTTGATGAACTTGAGGGACATGTTGGAACTTGACATGTTCTGCAACTTTTCACTTGGACTTTATCATGACGAGGCGCGTGGGATGTTGGTGGGATGGCGCCGAGGAAGCCGTCATTGACTCACTACGTCATTACCTCGGATGCATTGTAAATCCTTTCAACAACAGAGTTGAGACGGAGTCAACGTACACCACACGGCCCAAAATTCCAAGTACTCAGTGCAATTTTTTCAAGGAACATAAAAGTACACTCCATCCACCATCCTCGACGCGTTGTTTAGGAGGCCCGACAGTCGCATTTCAGACGACTCTGTACTCCCACACCCAATACCGAGATCAAACCTCTTCGGGCCGCGTTGACGCGCAGCTTATCGAGAAGAAGTTGGTTAGGGAGGCCAAGGAAGCCTTGAAGGGGGCGGTGAAGATGCTGCACAAAGTCAGGGTCGGATACCATCGAATGGGCAGACGTAGCCGTATTTTGTTGAACACGGCATTAAATATTTCGCATCTCATACGGCGACGCGAAATCATCATACCAAATTCCTACATGCACAGTTCCTACCAATAAATCCCCCATTTCACTCCTCATCCTCATCCCCCCCATCCAAGAAACCAACCGCATGCATCCAAAAAGCCTGCCAACACATCAATCCCACAACAACCCCCTTAATAACATCCCCAACCACATACCCCTCCCCAACCTTCATACCCCTCCCAAGCCCTAAAACCAACCCCACCTTCACCAACACCCTCACGAGCTCCATGCCCACGCACACCTTGTAGCTACCCACGTACGTCCGTGAGCGGTGGTTGAAGTAGAGTTGGAGGACGGTGGAGGCGGTGAAGACGGGCGACACGAGTTTTTCGAGGAGGAGGAGGTGGGTTGGTGCGGGGGTTGGTCCGGTGGCTGCGATAAGGTATGTTTGGTCTGGTTTCAAGAAGTGGTAGAATGCGATTGTTGAGAGGATGAACTACATACAATGAAAATGAGCGGATGAAAGAGGGTGTAAAAAAGTTAGAAAAGAAACCCACCAAACACTTCAACCTCCACCCAATCTGCCCATCAAGCCTCACACTCGCCCTTTCCCTATGCGTCGCAGGTGCGAACCACAAAAGCGGTATAAACCCGCGCCACCTCACCTCCTCCCTCGTCACCGCTTTCACCATCACAAGCGGTAACGCCATATGAAAAGGGAGGGCAGTGACGAAACCCCAGAACAACCTTAACACGCTCCAGTTCTTACCGTGGCCGTTGGAAAGGATGAGTACGACGTAGTGCAGCGATGCGAAGAGGGCGAGGAGGAGGGTGGCGGGGATGCTTATGCCGATGGTGGATGTGCGGGTTTACCAGTAGTGGATCTGGAGGAGAGTTTTGAGGATGTGCAGGATGTTGCTGGCGTGGTGTTAGCCAGAAAACAAAAGATGGGATGGGGAAACGTACTTGACTATTTCGAGGAAGAACACCCGCCTGGGGTGTATTTTTTCTTCGAATTGATGTCCATGCAGGCCCTTTAGTGATATATACACAAGTTAAACAAAGCACTGACACAGGGAAGGATTTCAGAATGCTCACGCATAGACTGTGCGGTATGATGTGCCATAGCTTTGTTATACTCCGTATCCGTCATGTTGTACTCTCGACTTGAGCTCAAAGCGCCGGAGAGTATGATATTTCGGGGCGAGGCACCAGAGTAGCTGAGTTTCCATGTGAGGTTTATGTACTCTTCGTCTATAGCGAACAGAACGATGAGTTTATGAATGGCTTTCGTCGGGAAAGACCAAGAATACCAGGCAAAGAAGCACCAACGCATCGTTCACGGTTCACCGGCACAGCTACCAAATTCTAAACACACACACCACCCTCAGCCATCATCTCTAAAAAATCCTTGAAAAGAAACTCGCCTTGGGACCCCACGCATTTTCCGTAGCAGCAAGATACGGCGCATAAGCCCACTCCGTTCTTCTCTTTCCCGTGGCGTCATCAACGACCTCGAGTTGCAGCCTCGTCTTGCAATTTCCGAGTGTCAAGAAATTAGACTCGCATTGCTGCCAGCTTGGTTTGGAGATGGGGGTCGTCGAGACGCACTGCTCACAGATTATCGGCTGGCTCTCGTGCTAGTAAAAGGATTCCAAAAACTTACAGCGTCTGATTTGAGGTCCTTGTGGAGCTTGTTGTATGCTTTGCGGTTGACTTGTATAGCTTCGTCATGTCCACGACACGGAGCTGTGTCCTATTATCTATACTTACACATGAGTATCTGTAAAGAACGAATAGAAAGAAAGGAGGAAGTTTACGAACCTAGTGATGATATACGGATGACTCTCTAGAAGTGGCTTCCCCGTCGTCGTCGTGAACCCAAATTTCCGGAACACACGGGAAGGCGCTGCCTTCAATTCAACATCCTCATCTTCATCTTCATCCGAACCATCACTTTCTCTAGGTTGCACATCAACAGCATCTGCACACCGACTATGCACGTTGGCGAATTCAAGCAGCGGTATCGACAGGCCGAACGAGTCGATGGCCTCCTCTACCATCGTTCGTTCATATGCTTCTGGATATGATCTCCTTGGCGGGAGGAACATGGACGTCGGTAAACATGATGAGTAGTTCGTGAGATGGTCGAGTAGGGATGGTGTAGTGGGTATGAGAACGAACGAAGCGCGTAGATCGTAGTTGCTTAGTTCCTTGTGTTTACTATACGCACAGTCAAGCCTCGTTTGAAAAGGAAGGAAAGGAAAACACACAATATGCTCGTGGGGACGTTCATTCGACTCAACTTGAGCCCTTTAAACACCTTTCCCGAAAAAACGACAGTCTCATTCACACCCGCCTCCTCCCCGTGCCTATTCCTCATCCACATAGTAGCCAAAACATCAAACCCTTGCTCCGAGTCAACCACCGGACGCACCACCGCCCCCCTCTCCCTCACTTCTCCCCACGTCGCATTCTGATACAACCACGAATGAGACGCCTTCAACGACTTATGTGCGCCCCTGATGTAGGTGGTAAAAGTGACGATGAGGAAGAGGACGAGGAAGAGGAAGGAGGTTATGAAGAGGCATTTACACCCTGATGCCCAGGTTGATTTTCGGCGGGGTAAGGGGTCGGGGTTGAGGCTTAGGGTGAGTTGGCTGTGGGATGTGTTGCTATGTGTTGGGGGTGCTGGAAGGCACAGGGGGTGAATCTATTTTTCCGATTGTCATGGCTGGCTGCAGTGGAGTGGAAAGATTCAGGTGGCCCTCGAGAGGCGCCGTGGGTTTAAACCTGTATGCGCGGGTTGCGGTTGGGGCGAGTACGGAAGTGGAGTGAATGGCCATGGAGAGGGAGAATTGATCAAATCCTTTGCCCATATTGCTGATGAACGCTGTGAAGGTGACCTTCGAATTAGGCTCGCAACCGGAATTCGAAGGCGGGGAAACGACTCGATTTATCCGACATATCCTTTTGACCTCTTTAGCAAGTTTTCATCAATATACACGTTACTCGCAGAAATGACTCGCGAACTCACCTGTGGAATCCTAACTTCAATATCCCGACGCGGGACCGCACCCAAATCGCACCTTGTTTCTCCGGCGCATCAGCTCTCCATGCCGACTAACAGCGAAACAACGCGGCTGCTAACATGTTCGATGAAAGTCCTTAGTCGGGAGTCGGCACCAGAGGGTAATAATAATAACGCTCATCGATATCGGAAGAACCATTTCTACGTCGGTATTTCGCGTTGACATGAGAAGAAAGAACAATCACGAATGTCGATGAAAGTTGGGTTTGGGTATATGGCATTGGTACAGAAGCGAAGATGGAAGTAACGACGACAATAAAGAGAGGTACGGATATAGACATATCGTAACCTTTTTGAGTTTAAATGCGAAAAGAGCTTGGGGATATGCATCGATGAGTCTATTTCGCGAAATACGGTTATCAAGACGATGTTGAGGTTTACGCGAGGTCAAGACGACAATACGACGAGGTAGAGAGTGAGTGAGGTTGAGACAAGTTGAGAGTGCAGCAACTTAGGGTCAAGCAGGGCCGACGGGATAACTGAGATTCATAAACATATTGCCATGACGATGAACTAGGACAATGTACCTTTCTCACGACTGAGGTGCTGGCGAGCGAGGGAATGAAGAAGAGGAAATATTCCAATTTTGTTCCAACGTTTCTCATCTCTCGTCTCTTCGCGTACGCTTTCTGCGTGCGTTGGGTTTTATGCTCGTAGCGGCTTCTATCACCAGGACGCTTCTCTCACTCGCTATCTGAATAACACCGTCATTTACATAACAAGGAAAAAGGAAGGTCGCTCTGGACGCCCATCCATACCCCTCATTCATTTGTTTAGTTTCCCCCACATTGACTGTGCAAAAATGGATCCATCCTTTACTTTTCCCCGCCCCAAGCCTGCTATACCCCGTCCCCAAGCTCCTTCAGCCTCTCAAGGGGAGAGCCGTGAATCCAATGCCCTCCGTGCTTCCGTTCTTGATGCTGCACTTGAACTTGGTCTAGGAAACAATTCTGTCGTTGCGGACTGGATGTTCAACAATACCCTGCAGGAAGAAGAGGAAGAGGTAGAGGTGTGTCCATCCCTCTGCGTCACGCATCACTTACTGATCTATCACAGGAGCCCGTTCCTTCGCCTGGCCTTACATACGGCTCATCAGCCACTTCCGAGGAATCTTCCTCTTATTCACACCGTCCACCTCCACCTCTTGCTGCCTCCAATCCCACCCCTCTTTTTCTTTCTGATTCAAGGGACCCCCAGTTTCCCAAACATCAAGGCGCCCGAGCTGCCATCGTCCCGTCCACCGTTGACGTGCCGTACGTGGCTGCCGGTAGTAACGTCACTTTTCCCGAAGTCCCCGTCCAGATCCCTCCTCGACCTACTACGCCTTCTGGGCGAGCCAAGCTCAAAAAGAAGAACCGCGGAGATGGGTACGAGAGTGATGGTGGATACGTCAGCGAGGCGGGGAGGAAGAAGGATAAGGATAAGAAAAAGGAAAAGGAAGGGGCTGATGAGAAAAAGGAGATGAAGGCTCGTTTGAAGGAGGAGAAGAAGGAATTGAAAGAGGAAGAGAGGAAGAGAAAGAAGAGTTTGGTTTCAGCTGTTACGAGGTCTTCGTCCAAGGATAAAGAAAAGGACAAGGATTCCGGTTATGCGACTGGCTATGAGACTGACGGGAGCAAGCATAGTAAATCCAAATCAAAGAAAGTCAAGCCTAAATCTTCTCTGGGCAACATTGGCGGAGAATACGAACCAGATGCTCCCTCAACGCCTCTCAAAAAGTCCAAATCGCGGTTCTTCAAACTAAGCACAAAGTCCTCAAAACCAAACCTTCAGGAGGACGTCGTCCCTTCACCCTCAACGGAAAAGGACAAGGGGAAGGAAGTCGTCCCCCTCCCCATCGCAGGCAGGTTCATCACAGGCGTAGGAGCACCACCAGTTCCTTACATACCCCCTCCCACCAATCCCAGTCCCGTTCTTGCCCCCGGCGCGAGTCTAGCGTCAAGCCTTGTACTTCCACCTCCTGAACGCCTTCCCCCCATCGCAACGCACGCGCTCGACTTCGATTCAGTTACATCCCCCGTGGTCACCTCCTCGCCTGTATCAGCCGTCACCTCCCCAGCTGTCCTCTCATCCCTAAAAAAGCAAGCAGACCGCGATTCACGGTCGTCCGCCAGCTCAGGCTCCTCTGGTGGTTCGAATCCACGCCGCAGGGGCTTACAGTTCTCCCCTACCCATGCGAATGGGAGTGAGAGTTTTTCGACGATTACTTCTACTTCACAGTCCCATTCGCACTCACATGGACATGGGCCGCCTCCGTCTTCCATGATCTACTCCCCGCCTGGTTCTGCGCAAGGGCATTTAAAGCCCCCGTCTATTTCCTTCCCTGTGACGCGCTCTCCGTCCCCGCATGGTCCTCTTAGCCCAGTGGCGCCGTTGAATGTGGTTAAAGGGTTGAAGACCAAGGCGTCGTTGGATGCTATACCCTCGAACCACTACGCCAATTCATCGAGGGGCGTATCGCCTATACCACTATCGCCAGACTCGCCTTATGTCATGGTCACACCTACTACTTCCTCTTCCCCACCCAACGTTATCACCTCACCAATCCCACTTGTAAGACCACGCAACCCACCCACAAACGGCTTCGGCCCACGCATCTTCACTCAAACTCAAACCCAACCCCCGTCGTCACCAGTCCCACCACCAAGCCCACACGTCCACTTCCCTTTTGGCGCCCACGAAAAGCCCACGCATCTGAGCATAGTGCCCTCTGAAGACTGGGTCGTTCCGTCCCCCTCTAGTTCCCAAACATCACATCATGTTATAACGCCGCCGAGTGTTTTGGCGTATTATGATATACCGCCGCCTAGTCCGCCGCCTATGGGTCCGTTGCCCGTTCCCCCTGTTGAAGGAGGAAATGGGGCAGGAGGGGCAAGTGCGGGTGTGTTCCCTACGACGTCGCAGTTGAGGGCGAGGATGCATGAGCGGGGTGTGGGTGCTACGAAGGAGTTTAATAACCAGCTTGTGAATATGAGTATGCAGAGGGGGAGGGAGCTGCCTTTTCCTGCTCGTCCTATTTTGCCCACCAACAACTCCAATTCCTCCACTTCTACGACCACCAACCCAAACTCGAATGGTGTTGTTGGACCGGGGTTGGAGGCACGAGTGAATGTTAGGAGGTATCGCGATTTATATGCGGCTCCTGCTGGGGGATGGCCAGAACCTCAGTCTCAGTCTCAGCGTCGTCCTTCTAGGTCCGACGAAGGCGAAGGCGAGGGGTATCACGCCGAAGAAGAAGAAGAAGAGGAAGAAGACATGAAAGACGTCCTAAACCGCTTCGAAGACTCCGACTCAGACACAGACTTCATAAACCCCCGCACCCTCGAAACGCGACGTTCCTTCGAAGCTATCAAGCCTCTCCCAGGACACGAAAGTTTTGCAGTGGAGGAGTATTACGGTACCCGCGATAGAGATACCATCTACTCTTTCGCTGACACTTATGCTACGGGGGGAGGGGACAGGAACTCGAGATGGAGCGGGAGTATTTATAGTCGGAATAGTATTTTGGATCCGGATAAGAGTGAGGAGGCTCGGGAGAGGTTTTTGGAGAGGGTTAAGGCTATGTTGGGGGGTGATGAGGATGAGAGACGTGGAGGGAGGGGGAGACAGCAGGTTGTTCCGCCTGTTCCTGATATCCCGGAACGGTTTGCGTCGCCTAGGAAGAATTGGCCGCCTGGCAAGTTTTGAAGGAGGGCTTGGTTTTTTTTTTTTTGGTTCGTTGACCTTTCTTGTGGCATTTTTTCCCCTCGTCTCATTGCTTTCTCGGTTTTGCTATACGCTCTTTTATCATCTTGCTCACTCGCTCACTCACGCCGTCGTTCGTTCCCGTTGCGCTCCCCACTACATACATACCTACCCGCTCGTTCAATCTGCACTGCACATGCTGCAAGTCTGTGACTTGCTTTCTATCATATCTACTTGATACCTATACTCCATATATATTATTCAAGTACTTATGACTATTCAATTATCAACCTCGTCCGATTCAACGGTTTCGATATTCACCAGACACTCGAGCCAATCCTGCTTTTTATCACCACTCACATGAATCGTCTTGGCTATCAGGATCAAGAATCGAAATGACGACGTAGTGCCCCTTCACCGCACTCGAACCGTAGCCCTTGATGCGAACCGTCTGGACTCCATGTTACAGCTAACTGCATAATCGTAGACCACATCTGAAATTTCACTTTGCGCCTTTGTCTGTGCGTAAACATCCGTTTTAGGCCGTGGCTATGTAAACCATGACGCCGATTCGCGCGCGCTGCCCATTGCTCCAAGTTCTAGCACCGTTTCGGTAGTTGCTCCAAATGCTCTAATCCCGCCCCGCACGTCATAAGGGTGGAGCGGTTGGAACTTGCCAACTTGGAAGGGCGTTCTACCTAATACGGTTGTTTGTACAAATAAAGGCGCACAAAGTAAAATTTAGATATGGTCTACGGTTATGCAGTTAGCTGTAAGTAAACAAAGGGGGTGAGCGCTGCCTAGTGGCGTATCGATGTGAGTTTAGGATCGTTTTGCTGCTACGTGTTTTCTTCTTTCTGTCAATAACGGCCCGTTCAAGTAGTTCTCTCACATTTGCGGGGCGAGCGTGTCACCGGACCTTCAAGCGTCAAGATTAGACGAGCGTCTTCGGAGATGCTGCTCACGGTTACTTACTTGGGCGTGTCTGGGCCAGCGGGTTAACTTGAACAACGTGTCCTTGACGTTCGATAAGCGCGCCTTCCGCAAGTATTTTTCCGGTGATCACCATGTGATGCAGTTTCAACTACGATAAAGTGTGCAAGCTGTCGTGGTTCCTTTGAACATACGACATGGCTGTTATCGGCATTGATGTTCAGGATGTGAAGGTCATTATCAACCTTTCCGAGTCAGCAGTTCGGATCACTTGCTAATATCACTACGTCCTGCAGCGTTTGGACGGGCGTATAAAGATCACCGCAAAATATCCTATCGCTCATGGTGGTTACTCGGACATATATCCCGGAATCTGGCGTGGTGGGTCAGCTTTCTTAGGTCCTGGAGTCTGGACTGGCAATGCAACTTCTGGCCAAAATGTTGCTGTGGGTACCGCTCACATTTATATCGTTCTCCCTCCTAATTCACGAACCCTGTCGTGCATCAAGGTCGTCATTAAAGTCATGCGACATGCAGACCGCGACTTGAAGGCGAATGATCCCATAACTCGGTCGAAGTATGCGAAGGCGAGTATCGACGGGTCTCTCCCTCCCGTTCTTGGCCTAGTCTTATTTGATTCAAATCAATAGGATTTGGAGAAGGAATATCGTGTTTGGGCACATCTTCGCCATCCAAATGTGCTTCCTTTCTTCGGCCTGATTGACGACCCAGCGATCCCTTCCATGGGTGTGGTAACACCGCGCTGCACTTTCGGCGATTTGCGCTGCTTCTTCTCTGACCCGACGAGAGCATCATCTGCCAACAGACTCTCCATCGTGAGGGTCACCTTGAGGGCATGAACTTCCAATCTGAGTGCAACTTTTTTTTTTCTAGGTGAAAGGAATTGCGAGAGGCCTTACTTACATCCATGGGAAAAGGGTGGTTCATGGAGATTTGACGATGGTAAAGAAAATATTTGTTTCCCAGGCTGGCGAAAAAAATCTTAATCTTGTACTGAATAGGAAAACGTCCTCATCGAACTTATCAATGGCGTTTTCACCCCGCTTATATCTGATTTTGGTCTATCTCGGGTCCTCGAAACAGAAGCCGAAAGTAGATGGTTTCTCTTCGAGACTTTCAAGTCAATTTCCTTTGTGCCACGTCGGTCAGGGAGACTTTGTTTTGGATTATGATCTTTATACTAATCGTAAGAAATAGACACCTGCCCCCAGAAATTCTGTTGGCTGAGGATGAAAATCAAAGTAGGAAGGCCTTAACCCTCGGAGCCGACGTATGGTGCTTTGGTATGGTGATGCTTGAGGCTTGTGTTTTTTCCCTACCCCGGTTACCATATTTGACAAATTTGATACCTTGCTTTAGACTCTAACGGGGAAATCTCCATTCTTTCATTTGATCGAGTTTCAGGCAGCACAGATGGTGGCATTGAGAAATGAAAAGCCTAATCAGAACCTTTATCCCACCTTTACCCATGATAAAAGATGCTGGCATGTTGACCCCTCCCATAGGGAAAAAATGCCTGGCTTGTTGCCGTCTATAAATGCATTAAGGTAAAGAACATTCTTTTGTTTCGTAGTTCGTTATCAAGTTCTCCAATTCCAATGAACATTCCTCGCTTGCCATGTAATGAATAGTGAACGAAATAGAAATTAGCCATTGATATGATGTCCAAGGTCTAAGGTAATATTTTGTCCACATTTTAGAGCAAGGGTGTTGCGGTAAACCTCTGGAGGTTTTTTGGCAGAACAGGCATCTGATGCTTGACGAAGAAGCTTCAGAACGACGGGGCACCGAGAAGAAAAGGATGAACCTTATATTCCATGCTGAGCTCACTTTCCCTTGAGTAGACCCACGAAGTTGGTTGAAATACCCAACTCAGCGCTACCTCAGCGGCAGCAGTGAGCTCCTCATCACAGACTTCGCTGTCAGCAATGGCGCCACGACGAGTGTTCAATCCACCGATACTCTGTCGGAGATTTCTTTAGCCGGTCACAACCGGCTCGCATTATGACTGAGTTTCAACACTGGTTTGAACCTGAGTTGCAATAGATTGCCATTGGATCGAGGCGTTGAAAGGGTCCTAGTTCGGTTATAACTGAGAATTGATGGACCGGATCAGTTACAACGTGATTGTATCGGGAATTGTATCCGCGTAATGATGGATCGTTGACGTCTTGTTGATAACGACCTGATTACCTCCCATTTGCTCCCATTCCTCTCTCCCAACCTCACGGCGTGTCTGTGGAGCATTTATGTTGTGAACGTCTCACTCTCGTCATCTTATCTGGCCAAATGGAAACACAAAAGCAAGCCAAGGCAACGGAAAAGGTTGTATGTATATTGTTGATGTGGACATGTTTTTACGTTTACAGGGGGCGCTGATCAACGACGACGACAGCAGTGGCCTCGAGGAAGCATTCACCAGGCTCACCCTCACCCCAAGCACCAGCACCCCGGGCCAAGCCAGCCACTCTGGTGCTCACGCAGAGCGCCGTGCTGACTCAACTATCAACACCGCAGGTTCAATGTCACATCAGCCTCAATCCATGACGGCTGGACCCTCGCAACCCATCGTTCAAGAGGTGGCACAACCCGCTAACGCTAAGAAGGGGAAGAAGGCACGGGCACCTGCGAAGGGATCGGCAACAGTGACAGCTGCAACGGAGATGGCGGTGGGAGTGCCTGCTGCAGCGGCAGTGCCTGCAGCAAATTGGCAGCAAATCACAGGAGCGGATGTCGAGTTTGAGCCAGACTGTTTCTTCATTGACACATCGTGATATTGGTATGTAGCTACTTTTTCGTGTGCATCGTGTTTCGTCAGTATTTTGTTGGAATGGGTGTTTCATTTTTGTCAAAAGGGTGAAGACATACAGTACAGTGAGTCTAAACAAAAGCGACGAAAACCAGGGAACAGAGGATACATAAGGTGGCGACAATGTCGCCCGTGTCAAGAAACTCGGCAAGAAATAAGACAACACTTTCCTCGCCTCTGACACCCTCATTAGGTTCCCCGTCTACCCGGTCCCGATCTCTTCAAACGTGCTTTTCTGTCCCCCATCTGTTTTTGGAATGGGCATGGTCCGTATGATGAATGAATGACTCATAAACGGGCGTTCGCAAAACACTAATCGACGCATCCGAGGGAAGGCCGGTGGTTGACATCCAGTACATGCCAGGCGACACAACCCGCATCGTGAGCGGTGTCGTAACACGAAGAAAGCACCTACAATTAGAGGCCCAATGGCAAGATAATGCCAGAGTAAAAGAAAGACTTACAAGCACATTTTGGGGCCTGCTCCGATAAAAACCGAAACGCGCAGCATCCGCCCACGTCAGGGTATCGGTTTCCCTCAACGCTCTCGATTCCGCGGGCAGCGTCGATTCGGTCCTCTTGGTATGTCGGTACGGATCTCGATGGGGAGAATGGCAGTCAAATCAAAGTCGTCCATAAGGTGCATGTACGAGCTGGTGTTAGACCAGAGCGATCCGTTAGTCTCCCATGAGTACGTGACGTACCTGTTGCAGATCGAGCTCAACTTCGGTCTGATCCAAAGAATAGTTGAGAAGCGCGGATGTGGTGGTCGAAGGACCGGGATTGAGCGAGGAAAGGCCTGACGATGAAGTGGGGCCTCTTGGCGAGGGGGAAAGGGAAGAAATCGTGGTGGGCCTGTGGCGACGCATTGGGACTGGTGGGAACCAGCGGCCATTCTGTCAAGCTGAACCGAAGGGCTTGTCTATATATCAAGCAATAACCTAGTGGTTACTATGGACAAGGTAAGAAAGGTTTCAAATAATAACGATCAGTAAGTCATAAGTTCGAATCCCACACAGCGCAATAATTACTAACTACTAGGAACACTACAATACCAATAAACCCTACAATAACAAGAATAACAGAAACACTACAACAAGAAGACTAATGAATTAACCGTAACTACAAAAGCAAATACAATAAGGGACTACAAAAACACAGGACAGTACTAATACTTTTGGTAGCCCGTTATCACGTATCGTTATCGTTGCAATCTTATCGCGGAGTTGGAATGTGGTTCCAATATTCGTTGCAACCGGCATTGTAACGACAATTGTAATTAAAAACTCTGTAGTCACACTGACTTATGACGGCAGTCCAAATTGTGACGCGCACAACAAATTGTGACCAATTGTGACCGAACTTAGAAAACTCCGACATCAACTTGACCAAGAGTCGCCAAACTGAGAAAAGGAACGATATGTAAATTTGCATTCTTCCCTGGAGCAACGACTCCATAACCGTGACTGGCTCCAATATAACACCCTTCGCCATCTAGAATGCCTCACGGAAAGCACCGATGGCTACAAGTCGGAAAGCTAGTTCGGACGAATTGAGGACATGGAAAACACCATCCTTTAGCACGAAACGGTATCCGAAAATGGCGTTACCAGACCAGGCAACCTAAGTGCTTCGTAGAAACCCTAACAATTGAAAGACATCGAAACAGTAGAAACCGAACGGCTGTGGAATGGGTCGTCGACCAATGGTGATTGAGTAGCTCTGAGCTTGGGGCAACCAAACCAGACGGGTGTACCAATCAGACGATCGATGTATGTGAAATTTGCCTGCGGCCATTGGCGAAGACATGATGCTGAATCCATCCTGATGGTATTTCCTTCGCAAGCCGATGCATGAAGGGGTGCAAGTGGGCGAGCTGTGCGAGTCATGGTAAATGGAAAAGCCAGTGAGATTGCTGAAGTGAGGAGTTGGGGTTTGCGCTGGTGTTGTGGAACAAGATCTTGATTGAAGACAGAGGGCGGTCAGTCAGGGGGAAAAATCAATAGAACCAAGGTGACAAGGAATTCAGGAGCCGAGCAAGGAAGAAAGGTATACCGAATGATAAGTAATGCAAAGGTGTAACTTACCAAAGGAAAAAATGGTCGTTATCCCCACTCCCCAGCTATCCGACGCTTGCGCTTATGACCATGCGGATGGCGGTGATTTGCCGTGGCTGTTGGCAAAAAGATGATGCTGGAACGACGAGCTCAGACGAAAGTTACTTCGACGAGTAGATTCAACCACAACGTCTCCTTGGTGGATGCATGACGCGGTGCGAGTAGCCGGATTGTGTGGGTCATGGTGGCTCGGACTCAAGCCTGCGATGACCAAAGTCAGGAGCCCTGGGGTTTGAACCAGAACCTGAGTAACGAAGGAGGGTGGTCAACCAGGCGAATGATCAAATAGATGCAAGATGACAAGCCGAGTCGGAAACCGGGGAAGGAGGGTGTGGACTTGGTTGCAGCGGGAGGTCGAGTAAGGATCTTCAGGCGACGTCGGCAGGCCAGAGAGGAAACATTGGAAGAGTCGTTATAGATAGTCTCTCGTAGACAGACTTCGATATATGTGAAGTCGTACCTTGGTTCACGATATATGAAGTCTGTTTGTTACCACGCCCCCAAAACCGCGCTAGAAAATGTTTATGTAATCTTCGGACTTTAAAACCGCGTCGCGTCAATATTGCGTCCTTGCCTTTTGCTCTCGACGCGATAACCCATGCATTTCTGTTCCAATTCACATCAAACTTGATATTCTACATCTTGTATGATCTCCAATCTATTATGACGACTCAATGACAGCTCGACAACCCCGCCAGAAGAACGTGATACGATCAATACCATTGTGAAGAAACCCATACCGAATTGGACGAACGGACTGGATGCGATCCAACTTGAGCTCGTTTCCGCTATTCTGGATGGAAAAGGTTTGCTTTGCTGTACCGCAGCTGGAGATGGAGAGTCGGCGGCCTCTCAATACCAACTCTTGTGCTACAACAAACACCTGAATGCGCATGTACCTGGCCTTCAAACTCGGAAGAGACCAATCGGAGTGGTAGTCACACCAACCAAGGGACTGACAGATAACATAGTACACTTATTTTCCATCTTTTGTTGTTACACTCACAAATTTCGGGCTAGGTTCACGAGCTTTCACAAAACTTCTCATCATCTCCGGATTCTCTTACTGCAAAGAAGCCCTGTTGTAGGCGCCGCTTCTTTGTAATCAAGCACCATTTTTGCGTGAGGCAGCCATAGACTCGGTGAGATAGCAAGAAACAGGCGCGCGCATCTTGTACTTCTCACAAAGTTAAGCAATGCTAAATTTCCCCAAGTCTTCCAAGTAACCAGTCTAACGCTATCCTCTGGGCGTCGGCCATTAGTGGATGCACGAAGCTGAGTGTCATCGTCTTTAATGGTGATGAGATTGGTTACCCAAGTAAACAATGAAGGACGCGCATGGTTGATAGCCGCAGGTGAGATGGAGGGCGAGAATGAGGTGTAATGTTCGTGATATTGTGTAGATCTCGGCGATGGGGCACTGTGCTTGTGAGAATATTTGAGGCTGATAATTTCGAACATTTTCGTCATTGTTTTTCCTTGAAGGAATTGAATATTGAGCGACGGCCAGAACAGGATCTCCAGAAAACCTCGGATAGAGTCAATCCCCGAGTTGCCTAGAAACCCTTACATTCGTTTAAACCTTCCCTCTAGCTTTGCCTTTTCATTTCGTCGAGGCTGAATTAACCTTGGTTGACTCGATGGGCCAAGCGCGTTGAACGGAGAACCGGGGGCAGCCAAGGAATTAGCGGATAACGAGGCCGAAAGACAATCAGGAAACAATGTGAGGAGTGATTTTACTGCAGGACTTGTGGAAATTGGTGTAGATTGTGATATGTTGGCGAAATGCAATTGGGTGTTGCTGGTACTTGAATTGCAGAGTTTTCCTGCACGACCGGACAATTCGAGCGTTGTTATCCATAGTAAGTATTAGTTGGAAGAAACTACAGTTGAATTTGAGGAGATAGGACAAGTCATGCGCCAAAAAACGCGTCGAGAGTCCAGGGCAACCAAAGGGCAACGAGGCGATGTTGACGCGACGCGGTTTCAAAGTCCGAAGATTACATAAACATTTTCTAGCGCGGTTTTGGGGGCGCGGTAAACACAGGACTACGTTATAGAAGTCCGGCGGAGTTGAATCAATGGGTACTTCGCAACTAGAAGCCAGACCCCATTGAAGCTGACTGAAACATTGACTTGACACCAACGCGAAATGATTTCGCAAGTTGGAGGGCTCGTAGGAAACGCACTGCTTTTTCACATAGCCACACTCAAAACAGACAGCCTTGCCACGCGTGACGCCCGCACCTTCCTCTCAACTTCCATCTCGTTGTCTACAATGTGTACCCTACCCAGCGACCCTTTCGTCGAACCGTTCTACAGTCTGAAAAAATCATTCACGCGATTGCTCTCTCCAGTACCTGGATCCGCAGGTGGCACTCGCATGAACATAGCTCGCCCCAGCTGTGCCCCCCTTATCATGATGACTCAATCTTCAACCATCCTCGTTTCGGACATGGTCATGCCAGTCACCAGTAAGATACTTTGTAGTCTTCCTGCCCCAAGGTGAACATTGGTCACTCATCAAATCAATTTTGCAGGTGATCCGTTTGAAGTCCCTGCAGCAGGAGAGATTGAGTGCTCGCAACAGGTTTTACCCAACCCCACTGGTTTGTGTTAACCCCAAACCCCTATCATTCTTCATTGGTAACACTGATACAGATTTCCTGAGTTCTGACCTGCCTACCTCTCCACCAATTGCTTCTGTTCTTGGTGTAGGCCTGATGGATTCTGAAATGACTGCTGCCTGTGAGACCCCTCCATCTTTCTGCTAGAGTGTTGATGTTGACCTTCATCAATTCTACAGTTGGTCAGGCTGAAGGCCCTGTGCAAGGAGCTGTTGATATCTCTTCTCCTACCTTGACTGGTTCACCCTTGTTCCAAATCTCTATATCCTATCTCTGATAACTCTATATAGGTCCTCCAAGTTTTGACTTGCCCATCTCTGTACCCATTCCTTCTGCTCTAAATGTGGAAATGATGCCTGCCAGTCAGTATTCTTATAAAAATAGCTCAGGTTTGCTCAAATCTGATTGACCATGCAGGATTCTCGACAAACATACAAGCTGACACTATAAACAACATTTCAGCTAAAAATCTGATGACAGGTGATAACTATGGTTTGTTGCATTTAGATGATCATATTTTATTGCTTTCACTCAAATTTCAATAGGTACCATCAATCAAGGTAAGGAGTAAGAAAAGCATTATATTCAGCTTAATGATATATGTGGTTGGTAGGTGTGGACCCAGATCTTCGAATCACACTTGAGATGATTAAGAATGAACAACTGGGTATCATTGTGGATTCTTATGTAAACTGTCTTATTAACTTCATTCTTTTGTTAGCAAAAGAGATCTATAAGTGGCTTTCTCCTTCTAAAGAGTCTCTTAACTACAATGCTGCATATGCAATTACGGAGAGTCAACCAAACACCTGTCAATGGTTTCTCAAAGGAAAGACATTTTCTGGGTGGCTCAAACAGCCTGGCTTTCTCTGGATCAAAGGAAAATGTAAGTCATCTGTCAAATTCTATCAATTCATATGTGATTGACAGGCTACCTAGCTGGCTCTGGGAAAACCATTTTAAGGTTGAGAATTCCAGCATTTTTATGAAATTGAATTAATCTTTATCTTTATAGCTCAGCAATAATTCACAATGTTCTTCAAAGATTCAATTCTGCTACTGCATATTTCTTTTTTGATGGAAGGGACTTACAGAAAGATTTTCAGCTGCATGATAAATTGATGCGATCACTCATCTGGCAATTCAGTCTCAAATGTGGGGATAGAGTACCTAAAGTCTTGGTGGATCTTTATGCTTGCTGTGGCAATGGCCATCAGGAGCCAACTCTGGAGAATCTGCAGAATACTCTTGGAATGATTCTTGGTGGCTTTAGCTCAACATTCATTATTCTGGATGCTCTTGATGAATGTACTGAGAGAGAGAAGCTTCTTAACTGGATTCAGACTATTATACTGGAGAATCCAGGGCTCCATTTTATAGTTACTAGTCGCCCAGAGCAGGAGATTGAGGACAAGCTCAAGTCTTATCATTATCTTGACTTAGCTGAAGAATCTGAGAATCATGAGCTTGAAGCCTATCTTGATTATCAGCTTGACAATGACTCTAACTTGCAAAAATGGAATTCTGACACTCAAAAGCAAATAAAGTTGACATTGATGAAACAAGCAAATGGAATGTATGTTTATTATTGATGTTTGGATGACAGGCACTACTAAATGCAATTTTAGGTTTCGTTGGGTTGCATTGCAGCTAAATGAACTCAAAGAGTGCCGAACAAAGACTGATCTGAAAAAGCAGCTAGCTGATCTACCCCAGGGTTTGGATAAAACATATGACCGAATCTTGCTGGGAATTAATAAAAGAGATCTTGGTTATGCCAAAATATTTTTACAGTGGCTGTGTTTTGCTGTTCGTCCAGTGACACTAGAAGAGCTGGCTACAACTGCTGCTGTTGATCTTGCTGCTGAGAATGAACCAGAGTATAAACCTGATAATGAACTTCAAGACATCAAGGATGTCTTGAAAATATGTTCTAGTTTCATTATGAAATCAGGTAGTATGTGGTTTAGAATAATACTAGATTGAAATGAGCACTGACCATTAAATAGGATTTATCAAGCTTTCCCACTTTTCTGTCAAAGAATATCTCATATCCCAGTATCTTCAAAATCATGCCATCAAGGAAGTCAGAGACTTTAGCTTCAATAAGGAGTTGTCACACTCTGTCATATCTCAAATCTGTCTGGCCTATCTTCTTCAATTTCATACATCTGAGCCACTTAGCAGAACTGTGAACATATCATCCCCACTTGCAAAATATGCAGCAGAGAACTGGATTCTGCATACACATCATAGTGGCAAAAATAAATCTCAGTCATCTCCTGTGTTTGTATTGGCTATGAAGCTTCTGACAGATGAAAATGCTGCTTTTCTGAATTGGGTTCGACTTTGTGATGTGGATTGCTATAACCATATGAAGTTAGAAAAACAAAAATCTGAGATTGCTAAACCACTATACTATGCATCACTGACTGGATTGACTGAGGAGTCATATGCTTTGCTAGAAATGGGGGCAGATATAAATGCATGTGGGGGGAGATATGGAAATGCACTCCAGGCAGCATCAGATAGAGGCCATGAAGAAATTACAAAGCTGCTGATAGAGAAGGGGGCAGATGTAAATGCACATGGAGGAGTACATGGAAGTGCACTTCATGCAGCATTATATCATGGTAATGAGGCAATTGCAAGGCTGCTGATAGAGAAGGGGGCAGATGTAAATGCACAGGAAAGAGAATATGGAACTGTACTTCATGCAGCATTACATAGAGGCTATGAGGCAATTGCAAAGCTGCTGATAGAGAAGGGGGCAGATGTAAATGCACAGGATGGGGAACATGGAACTGCACTTCATGCAGCATCATATACAGGGCATGAGGCAATTGCAAAGCTGCTGACAGAGAAGGGGGCAGATGTAAATGCACAGAATGGAGGATACTATGGAAATGCACTTCATGCAGCATTATATAAAGGCTATGAGGCAATTGCAAAGCTGCTGATACAGAAGGGGGCAAATGTAAATGCACAGGGAGGATGCTATGGAAGTGCACTTTATGCAGCATCATATAAAGGCATGAGGCAATTGCAAAGCTGCTGATAGAGAAGGGGGCAAATGTAAATGCACAGGGAGGGTACTATGGAAATGCACTTTATGCAGCATCATATACAGGGCATGAGGCAATTGCAAAGCTGCTGATAGAGAAGGGGGCAGATGTAAATGCACAGGAGAGATGTTATGGAAGTGCACTTTATGCAGCATTACATATATAGGGCTATGAGGCAATTGCAAAGCTGCTGATAGAGAAGGGAGCAGACATAAATGCACAGGATGGGGTTATGGAACTGTACTTCATGCAGCATCATATGCAGGCTATGAGGCAATTGCAAAGCTGCTGATAGAGAAGGGGGCAGATGTAAATGCACAGAATGGAGAACATGGAAATGCACTTCATGCAGCATTATATAAAGGCTATGAGGCAATTGCAAAGCTGCTGATACAGAAGGGGGCAAATGTAAATGCACAGGGAGGATACTATGGAAATGCACTTTATGCAGCATCATATACAGGGCATGAGGCAATTGCAAAGCTGCTGATAGAGAAGGGGGCAGATGTAAATGCACAAGGAGGATGTTATGGAAGTGCACTTTATGCAGCATCATATATAGGGCATGAGGCAATTGCAAAGCTTCTGATAGAGAATGGAGCAGATGTAAATGCATGGAATAGAGAACATGGAACTGCACTTCATGCAGCATCATATGCAGGCCATGAGGCAATTGCAAAGCTGCTAATACAGAAGGGGGCAGATGTAAATGCACAGGGAGGATGCTATGGAAATGCACTCCAGGCAGCATCAGATAAAGGCAATGAGGCAATTGCAAAGCTGCTCATAGAGAAGGGGGCAGATGAGTCACCCTCTCACTCCTAAATATTAGTCATGCAACTTCCAGGTGTATATTGGCTTGTGTGGAAACTATTGAAAAGAATATGTAAATATCAAAATGAGCACCTGCATTATCCCCATCATTGTAAGAAAAGATGTCTTTGACAGCAATCAATTCAGATAGGAGTATATATTTAGACTCTTTTATTGCCATTTGAAGTGAGGTCTTATGAGTGCCCCCCCTATTCCTGCAGGATTCCAGTCATTCTGGTGGAATTCTGGTGGATTCTGGTGGAATGAAATTTAGCAGTAAGCCCTGCTAAATTTGTCATTCCTGTGTTTTCTCATTCCAGTGGAATCTGATTATTCTGGAATGGTATTCTGTAACAAGGGATTCAACTCCCTCATCTTGGGTATTCATTCATTTACTTACTTTCTGCAGACAACACACTTGTGCTTTCCTCTTAGTCACATGCCTTTTGAGTAAATCACATGCATGTACAGTATCATCGACATTCTATTCTTTACTCTTACTACCACTGCTATCAGCTCCTGAAAGAGGTGTGTTACTGTACTTTCACCATCTGAGGTAACTAGTATTGTTCTGAGTTGATTGCTAACTCTTTTCCCTTTGAGAAGAAGTGTTAGGTTATGTGATATAGGATTGGAAGGGGATGCCCAGAGGCCATAGTCAAACAGTGGTATATAGCTAGATTTGGATATCTTACATAATATATTGATCTTCTGTCTTGAACCACTACCAACATCTAAGTCCTCAACACCCAGGACCATTGCTCAGGAGGTAGCCTCAGATTCACACAAAAAAGCCCATTTAGATGTGCTGATGTGATCAACCATCTTTTGGTCAAAAACATCCCTCACTCTGCACAGCATTGGATATTTCAACAATGCCCCTAACTCCCCTAACTCCCCTTACATGCTCTCACCTTTGCTACCCCTATGCAAGCAACCACCTCAGCCTTGAACATCCATAGTAGTGGTGAATTCACCCCAAACATTAGGAATATCAAAATAAATGAGCCACCATCCCAACACTCAAGCAAAACTACCATGCCCATGATATCTGAGACAGAGAATGAGCTGGAAGGGCCACAGAGGCTGGGAATGAAAGACAGATTCAAGAACTCTCCCATGGCCAAACTGATTCAAGAATATGAGTCAGCATCGATAGAGTCACAGGTTGGCCCTACAGAGGCAAGCATCATGGTGGTGATAAGTCTAGAGGAGTTAACCTCTGACCTTATCGTAGATAGAGGTGAGGTCAGCCATAGGACTCTACCTCATTATCACTTAGTGGCAGCTACTATGAATCATGTTAGTATGACCATCTGCTCTGGTTTTGGAAAGGAAAAAGCATTTCATAATCAACCCAGAAGACACATTTTTACCCATTCTACAAGGTACTTCCAAGCTGACCACAGTTGCATGTGGCATGGAAGGCTCTCATCACAAGAATTAAGCTGGGGGTCAAAGCTTGGGAGAAATATATTGCAGAATATCAACCTCCTCTTCCTCATCTTCACCTTTACCACCTACATCCAGGGCACACATAAGTAGTTAGGCACCTCATTCATGGTTATATCAGAATACAACGTGGGGAGAGCTTGAGGTGGGGGAGAGGGGGGGCAGTGGTGCATCCACTCGTTGATCAATAGTAGGGGTTTGATGTTTTGGCTACTGTGTGGATGAGGAATAGACATGGGGAAGGTGGTGGGTGTAAATGAGGCAGTCATTTTTTCTGGAAAGGTGCTTGAGGGGCTCAAGTTGAGGGATAAGCATGTGAGGAAAAAAGGTTGAGTTGACTATCCTCACAAACATATTGTATGTTTCCTTCCCCCCCTTCAACTATCTTTTTTTCTTTTTGAGGCTTACTGTGTGTATAGTAAAGCAAGGGGCTCCCACCAGCAGATTCCAAGGCAAGCAACTCACCTGGGTCTGTACCGTTTCCATCCAAATTGGGCAAAGTCAGGGTGGGTCACAATAGGAAGGAACACACTGAATTGGGCTCACTTACATGTCATGTGAGCCACACGCATGCTCACACTCAGCCTGCTGTGTGCTCAAAACTTTGTTGCTGTGCACAACACATATCAGTAAACGAGAGGAACAGCAAATGGAAATCCCCTTATCTCACACAGATGATTACAGATATGAGAACGATATCTTGGATAGCAAGGGCATTGAAATCATTGAAGCAGAAGAAAGAAGTGAATCAGAGGAGGAAGATGGGGAAGATGAGAATGACACTATCTATGCACAATCTCAACTTCGTGTGGATAGACAGTCACGAAAACAAGGGCTATCAAGCCTATCTACAACATTGTCCTTGGCTGCAACAGATGAATCACCTACAAAAAAGCACCAAGGAACTGTAATATAGTTACAGATTGAATTAATAACAGTCGACTTATGCAGAGAATCTCAGAGAGTGAGTGAGAAATGAAGCTAATAACAATGATCACACAGTACTATGTATGTTTCACAGGGGAGAACCAGCCATTTGGCCAATGGGCACATGAGTATGCAAATGTTGATTGCTCATATTCTTCCCATATGCACTTCAGTCACCCATTTTAGGGTACCTATGAGGTATATGAATTCTTGGATTTAAGGGTACCTCAATGGTACCCATTCCAGAGTGGTATGTGAGCACCATACCAATACCATGGTACCATGGAATGGAAAACTCATACCATATCCCACTCATACCAATACCAAGGTACCATACCATACCATGTCATGTTATACCATACCAGATGGTATGATACCATCATACCAAAGCTGTCACTGGGTGTCTGGGGTCCTTTTCCAAAATAAATAAATAAATTCTGCAGGCTGCAATACTGGTCCATTGGGTACCATTTTTTGTGGGGTGGTTCTCCATGTTTTTCTTGAGATATTGAGCTACAAATTGAGGCTAGATAGTCCAAACCATCTATTGAAAATGAATTTAAATAGGCTTTATCCCAGCTTTCTCATGCATTCAAAGCCATTTAATGATACATATCTTTCCCAGTCCTTTTGATTTCAACAAATATTCATCCAAATCAAACAATACCACATCTATTGGGATGAAGTGGTCATTGAGAAGCAAAGAAAAGTGGAAAGGTTCTTCAGGTTTTTTCTAAGATTTCCAACTCCAAGTGGAGGCTAGATAGTCAACTCCAACCTTTGGAAATCAGTTCAATTGAGGGTTTTTTCATTTCTAAAAAGCCATTAATATGAATCCTCCCAATAATAGGTTAAATATATTTTGCCCAGTAGGGCCAATCAGGCAGTCCTACCTACTTACATAGCATGTACATATAGTATGGCCAACAACACCATATAATCTCAATTTTCTTAAAAACTACATATGATGGAATCAGGTATTGTTGTCCTGAGTGTTTGGTTCTTTGTCATAATATTTGGTCCAATTTATTGAAGCTGAGTGAATCTGTCCAATCCAAAGTCTTGTTAATTGGAAATGGAATCAAGTCTTGTTGTCCTAAGAGTCTTCATTATCAAAATATCATACCATGGTGTTGTAATCCCATGTTGCATTCTCATACCATACCATGCCATACCATGCCATGGTATTGCACTCTCATACCATACCATGGTATTGCACCCTCATGCCATACCATGCACCCTCATACCATACCATGCACCCTCATACCATACCATGGTATTGCACTCCCATATCATACCATACCATACCATACCATACCATACCATACACCATACCATACCATACCATACCATACCATGCACCCTCATACCATACCATGGTATCAGGAACCATAATCTATTTTTATTCAAGCAGAGGAAGTCAGAAAACCATCATTTCGAAGTTTGTTTACATATATTTACCAATAGCTTTGACCAAAGTGATGCTAAAATTTTGTAGTGTCCGCTTTGATGATTTCCTAATTGGGCCATGTCCTAATTGGGAAAAGCGTTACACTTTTTTCTGCCACACCTAATGTCAGGCACAGTGTGCAGTTGGGTTGGGAACTGTTTCCCACGCTCTTTGGGCCACTGGAGTTAGTGGCTAGCTTAGTGTTCTCACTGTTAATGACGATGTCCGCACTATTTCCTAATTGGGAAAAGTGTTACACTTTTTTCTGCCATATCTAATGTCAGGCACACTGGGCATTTAGGTCAGGAACTATTTCCCACGCTCTTTGGGCCACTGGAGTTAGTGGCTAACTTGGTGTTGTCACTGTTCAGGACAATGTCCGCATTATTTCCCAATTGGGCCATTTCCTAATTAAGAAAAGTGTTACACTTTTTTCTGCCACACCTAATGTCAGGCACAGTGCACATTTCGCTTGAGAACTGTTTCCCACGTTCTTTGGGCCACTGGAGTTAGTGGCTAGCTTAGTGTTGTCATTGTTTATAACGATGTTCGCATATTTCCTAATTGGGAAAGTCATTACATAATATCAGTTTGGTTTGCACTGTCCGCTTTTTCACTACAAAAGTTACTAGTGTGCGCTTTTTTCATTACAAAAGTTTGTAGTGTCCGCTTTTTGGACAATAAATATTTGTAGTCTTTGCCTTTGTCATTACAAAGATTTGTAGTGTCTGCTTTTTAGACTACAAATGTTTGTAGTGTCCGCTTTTTTGATTACAATGTTTGTAGTGTCCACTTTTTAGACTACAAATGTTTGTAGTCTTTGCCTTTGTCATTATAAAGGTTTGTAGTGTCCGCTTTTTTCATTACAATGTTTGTAGTGTCCGCTTTTTTGATTACAGTGTTTGTAGTGTCCGCTTTTTAGACTACAAATGTTTGTAGTGTCCGCTTTTGTCATTATAAAGGTTTGTAGTGTCCGCTTTTTTCATTACAATGTTTGTAGTGTCCGCTTTTTTGATTACAGTGTTTGTAGTGTCCGCTTTTTAGACTACAAATGTTTGTAGTGTCCGCTTTTTTGATTACAATGTTTGTAGTGTCCGCTTTTTAGACTACAAATGTTTGTAGTGTCCGCTTTTTAGACTACAAATGTTTGTAGTGTCCGCTTTTTTGATTACAGTGTTTGTAGTGTCCGCTTTGTAGACTACAAATGTTTGTAGTCTTTGCCTTTGTCATTATAAAGGCTTGTAGTGTGCGCTTTTTAGACTACAAATGTTTGTAGTCTTTGCCTTTGTCATTACAATGTTTGTAGTCTTTGCCCTTTTCATGACAAAGGCCTGTAGTATGCACTTAAAAGCAGA